TCTCTAGCTCCACGAGCTCGAATACAGAAAATTGTTCGATAAGCATTCCACAAATACTTGCCACTTTTTTTTTTAATATTTCACAATTTTAGTGAGCCATCCGCCAATGACATAAAATTGAGTATCTAATTGAAACATTTATGGCAATTTTGAGTGGTCATCAAAGTAATTTTAAATTCAATTATTTCATTAAAATTACTTAAAATCAAACCATTCGCTCAACTAGGTAGAAGGTAACGGCAGCCCACTCATCGCAAGCGTCGGCGTATATATCTGTGTTCGTATGGAAAAGTAGCTTATGTCGAAAGGCTGGCTTTAGTATAAATCGGCATTCGAAGCATACGATTGCGAATGACTTACGGGCGCTAAGCCGTTAAACAACTTTTAGCAAATAAACGTGCAAGAAATAGTTTCGATACTTGCAAGTCAATATTCTTTTTAAGTCTCATCGAAAAATTCCTTGTCGTTTAAAAAATAAAGGGAATGCCGCATTATACTAAAGCCGGCCTTTCGACATAAGCTACTTTTCCATACGAACACAGATATATTTGTGTTAGGATTTTTTTTAAGTAAAAGCTGAAAATGAGATTTGTACAAAATTACTGAATAACTAGTCCACTTCGGCATGGTACTGGACCACATGTCTAAAATTAACTAATTTTTTTTTTAATTTTCTGGGCTTATTTGAATTGGGCAACGTTGCATTTAAACTTCAGCTCCATTTTTGGCTAGTTAAAAAAAGTCTGTCCTTTCATTCGAATTCACGCTAGCCAAAAACAGTTGGCAAGTGGCTAGTTCGCAATGAACTACTTATTTTGAAATAGGTTCCTCATCCAGTCGTTTACTTCATGCAGTTTATACAAAAAACTACACACATGTGAGTGCATGTGTCCACATCTGTCTATTGCAAATTTCTACGAAAATGCAAGACACACACACACACACACACACACACACACACACACCGTTTGCCAGCCGCATCATATTCTGCCCCACAAATATTTCAAAAACGAAGAAGAGCACACAAACCAAAATACGCCGCATGGCCGGCTTGCGTGGCTGCATTTAACTCGCTCGCCTTCAGCTGCAGTCTCATTGCAACATTGCTGGCATTTAAAATAGATTTCTGATTTGCATTTGGAATGCGCTCGACAGTCGTTAGTTTAGCGGCAGCGGTGCCGGCAAGCGGTGAACGCGTGTGCGAATAAGTGGCAAATAATCGTGCAAATTTTACTGCATTACAAAGTGGATTATGTAGTTAGTGTAGTCAAAGAAAGGAATTCAGATAGAAAGCTTAAAAAAAAAGAAGATAAAACTGTGTAAGCACAGCTATTAGCTGAAAAATTTGCAAACCCACCTTCTATGTAAAATCGATACGAAAGTAATTTCAATTCGATTGTGAAAAGCTGCAAATCTAATTTTATTTGCATTTGGCAAGGAAGAGTATTCGTCTTCCAGAAATAGCCAAGCCTGGAGACGGCAAGTTTATGTCGCGTGGAAGCCGGAGCAACACAATTGCATTTGGCAACTACTTAGATATCAAAGTATGTATGTTTATTATGGTGACTCAGAAAAAAAAATTTTTTTTTAATTGTTTTCTTGTACTTCTGATTTTTATATTTAATGAACGATACGTTGTACTTGAATTGAATTGAAAGCTCAACAAAAAAGGTCTGAAGTCATTTTTCGATAAGTGAACTCGTTCAAAAGTTATTCGAGGACAAAATTTCGAAATATTGGTGATTCGACATTCCTAATATTAATATTAACGGCTCATATTTTCTGAGACTTATTGTGGCATCTAAACGAAACTTTCCGAAACATGGTTCCGAGGAAAAATTAGTTTTTTCTGAATCACCCTAATGTTTTTACATAAAAAAAAAAAAACACTTTTCCTCGTAAAGTAAGTACGTTAATGTAAATTTGAAAATGCGCGCAATTCCTTTGAAATGTGCATGATTCTGTTTTGGTGTGTAAGGATCATAATATTTCAGCTGCGAGTTGGGATGCCTTGAAATTACTTTTACTTCACCTCACGTTTGCCTATACTACCATTATTTTAGCCTTAAAATGAACGGTTATTATCACAAGAAAAAAGGATTTGTAAATGACTTGTTTTTTTTTTTATCAAAATGCTATTTTAAAAGCTATAGCTATGGCCATAAGTCAAGAAATCGCGAAGAACTGAAAACTTTTATAAAACTCTACAAATTAAAAAGACAACATTTTTTCAACTTACAAACTTTAAACTTAACGCGGTTTACAAAATTTTCCTAAAAGAGCTTTCGACAATTTTATGAATTCGAAAAATTCCCATTGTCCATCTGAGAACCTATAACATAATTGTGCTGGACTTTCAACTGGCAGCATTTCTTACGTTCCAAATGTGATAACCAGAATCCAGAATAGATTATCTGACAAAATTCTGCAGACGCGAGCGCACTTGTGCATAAGGGTATATTAACTTTTCAGCAGTGCTTTATTTCATATTTGTTTCTCAAAATTTGATTGATTTTAATAGGGCGTTCCCCTTTTACTGAATTCGGTTCAAAAATGCCCTATTTCTACTAAAACTGTATTGAAAATATGTTAAGATAGGACATTTTTGAAAAGTTTTCTGAGTCGTTTTCGAACTGGCTGCTGAGATATGAAGTGAAAAATATTTTTTTCTTTTCATTTAAAAATTGTTTACTTTCTAAATATACAACTAAATAAAAAACCAAACAATTTATGGTGACAGCGGGTATTTATTTAGAATCTTTTATTTTAGATATCTCCTCAGTTTGCTCTAAGATGCATCTGCTGGCATGAAATTTAAAACAAATTTCATAGAAATATTGGGGCGCATTCTTGTTTTCATACGAATCGAAAATCGTAAAATTTTCTAAACCCAAATTTCAAATTTTTGATTCGTACGAAAAGCAGAATATGCCTCATTAGATTTGTTGACATCTTGAGAATAGCTCTGTAAGCAAATTGGAATTTTTGTTTTTTGTTTTCTTGTAAAATTTGTCTCTTTTTAATATTATATATGACGAATTCCCGCTAGGAATTAAAATCACAAAAAAGTGTATGCTATTTAAAAAATGCCTTGTGAAAGCAGACGTAATGACTATTTTTATTATGAATGTAATGACACGGATTTTTTTTTCATACGCAACATTGTCATTTAAAATTATGTCGTTTAATGCTTAGTGAAAATTTAACACTAGCGTTGATGATGACGAGATATTTTATAATTTCTTAATATCGTATTTGGGTTAAAAATATGCTTCGAAAACCATTAGTAAACCAATTTTGGGCATTAATACATTCTGCATCAAAGTAAGAACAAAACCATGCTCGTATCGTTAACTTAATGTAAAAACAATTTTTTTAACTTGGACTTTTTTGCAAATTTTGTTCTATTAAGTCGCTTTATCTTTGAGAAAGTAACAGAGCTCTTGGTGCATAAGGAGATTTCTACATTAAATTAACGATATGTGCATATGCCATCTTTCATCTCATCTAAATACATGTACATAGGTCATGCATGTCAAAGTATTTTCTAAGCTCCATACTTCAACAAAAAATTAAATGCTTGCTGCCTAAGTTACGCTCCTCTTTTGGCCTCAAACCTGTTGCATTCAAAAAACCAACCATATTGCATTTCTACAAAATCATCTAAATTGCCTGTGTCCTCAAATAAACACTTTTGTCTTTTGTATATAAACATACATTAGGGTGCCTCACCAAAAAAAGTTGAGGTTTTTCCACACACGTAAAAATCAATATATTCAAAAAACTAGGAGCCAAATATAGCATAACTGCGTTTTTAATTTTTTTCTCTGATGTAAGGATTTTTTTTTAAGGACTTTGAAATTTCTAGAGTATGATTGAATAAAAAAATTATTCAAAAGATGCGGTGCATTGTAGAATAACAATATGGGTACCCATTAAAAGGAAAAATTCTTCAGAATAGGAAAAAAATGAATTTTTGGTGCAAGTTTTGTGAATATGTTGATTATTACGTGTGTTAAACTGACTGTCACACGGTGTTATATTTTAAGACCTCCGCAAAAATATTTCGAAAAAAATATTAAGATTTACGTTAGCTAGACATTTGATAATACTCCCAAAGCGACCATTATTTTCATGTCTAAATATTTTTTTCCAGACCTTTTAAGCTTAAACTCCTCATCATCTGATGTGATTGAAAAAAAAAAAATTTATTTAAAAAATTTTTTTATTATTTTGATTCCGTTAGTAAAGTTTTTAAACATTTTTTGCAGACCTTTTAGCTTAACCTCTTGATCATATGAGGTGATTTTTTTGAAATAATATTAAAAAAAAATAATAATAATTTTATTTACATATAAAATAACTAAATTTTTGGAGCTATTTTCAAGGCGGTCCTGCTAATGTAAATTTTAATATTTCTCCCTAATATTTTAGCGAAACTCTTTAAATATAACAATATTTATAATGTCAATTGAAAAACAGTATCGATATTTTTATTATTTTTATTTAATACGCAAACATTCATTTAATAACATTTCGCTATTTTAAGAGCATGTACATATCTACAACTCATACATAGCATAACTAAACGCTGTGTCAAAAAAAAGAAATGTCTTTGTTTCTATCGTACAAGATTTTAAGTATTATCATCTGTTTTTACAAACAGTTCTGCGCTATTTGTTTCATCGTTCCAACTGTTTCTCTTTTGTTTCTAAATATTTATTATTCGCACAATTTTGGGTTTCCTGCATAGAAAATAAAAAAAAATAAAATATATCAGTGGCTTAATTTTTTGCACATCCCTTTGACTCATTTCGCTGCTTATCTACTTTTGTTATTCTATATTTATTGTTCTATATGTTTGGCATTATTATTCTCATTTTCTCCCTACTTTCTGTTGGCTTTTGTTTTATGCAATCAAAAAAAAAAAAAAAAAATGAACAACAAATTTCAAGTTTTCACTTTAAATACAACTCACATTATTAATACGAATGTTATAGGAGTTAACGCACGATATCGAAGATTTACTGCAATCCCTGTCGACGGTCGAAGATGGCATTGGCAATTTGCCCAGCGCAAGTTTGGATGGTATGCTGCAAGGATTGAAGGTACGTTGTTTTGCGCGCGAATGCGAACGCGATATAAGTATTCTGTCTGTAAATACATTTACATATGTATGTAAGTATGTGATTAACAAATTATTTGTTTTGCATTTGACATACTTATACATATATATTTAGCATATTGTTAATGACACTTTTTTTATGCATACAATTCCCCAACAAACCGACACATTTACATACATCCACAAAGCATACTAAGTTTAACATAGTTTTTTATATATAATTGCAACACCTTTTTAAATTCCCTTCTTCTATTATATTTATATATTGAAAAAATAATAGTATTAGATCCAGAATTTTGGGTAACTAACAAATACTTACAAGTATGTACGCATCTAACTTTTTTTTTTTTTTTGAAAATAAAAAAAATATCCGATTTAATGATTGCTGGCGTGTGTCGCATAAAATTAGTAACACAACCGCATCATTCATATATCGCACATTTATTTTTATTTATTTAATTTTTTCGTTTTTATTTCAGTTGTTTTCTCTTCTTCTTAATATTAGTTCTAGTTTGTTTTGCCGTAATCTTGTTTATATAAAAAAAGTAAATTTTTAGGTTAATAAATTAGTTAGCAAATACTATTTTTTTCATGATGGGAGCGTTAGGATTTGTAGGTATGAGTCGTTTAGCAGTGGTTATGCCGTATTTCCACTAGGCATTGCTATAAATAAATGGCAAAGAATTTTCGACCATTAAAAAATAGCATCTGACAACAAATGTAATGATTAAAATTTTCAAATATTTGACGGGCTAAAAACTCGTGTCTAGTGGAAAGCCGGCAGTTAGTAAAAGAATTTTAAGTCTACGCCCAATATGCCTTATCTTAGTACGAATTTTCATCACCACCTGTCATGTTTGGTTTGGCGACGAACCGGCGTTGGTGTTGTGCCTTCTTCAGAGTCCGTGCCCGTTCTGACACTGAAGATGCAACCAACCTGGAAACTTGTTCAAAAATAAAAAATAAAACATACAAGAGTCTGTAATATAATTGTAGTGCTATCTATATATAAAATCCTTGTAGACCTGCTTAGAAAAAAAATAATAAAAATATTGAAAATCTTTACGAGTGGAGGTCAAAAAGTTCAGGGAATCAAGAGAAAGGCGTGTAATATTAAATGTGCCATCGTTTTTCCTTTCCTATAAATTTTCCCGAGATTTTATACCATATAAATATATATATATATATATATATATATATATATATATATATATATATATATAGATATATATATATATATATATATGTATGTATATGTACACACGTGACATTCCAGCCCAATTTGGACACCATTTGGCTTTTGCGTCTCCAATTTTTTACATAAATTTTTTTTTTTATGTTATAGTACAAATTGAGAGCGGTCTTCCTAATGCTCCTCTATTTTAAACGCCCATAACGTTACCAAAAACGGACCGATTGTGACCATTTTTGTTTTGAAATTTCCTATTTTCAAGACACTGAAGACGAAATTCGCTCAGCGAATTAGTTTTTTTTTATACTTTAACAGCTTTTTAAGGGGCGTTGGAGTAGCGCACTACTCTCAAGTGTCCCTATATATCCAAGAAAAGCATGTTGTTTCGTCGAAGTCCTCACCCCACGGGACTGTCTGTCGTCAAGCACTACATCGAGAGGAGGAAAGGCGACTAAGTAGTCTCCGCCTGTTACACCGTAGCCTTTCGACGTTTTTTAGCCTCTTCATCGCCTTTGATATTTGGGTGTTTACATGGGGCGATTTTACAGGCAACAACAATCGCCACATGGCGCCACTGCAACGGCCTTTCAACTAATCACTTCTAATGAAGTTGGGTTCCTCTAAAATTGCTAACATCGCCTCATATAAACACCGCATATTGCGTCAAATGCTGTCGTACATTTTTCGCTGCTTTGTAGCATAGCCTTCACGCCGTTCTTTCTTGCCAATCAGCTTTTCAAATCTTGCATGCAGCGACATGTCCAACGGCCCTTTGTTGCGTTGCTCCATTTATTCTGCAAAATTTGGGTGGTAGTTTCTCGTGCTATGGAACGATCCAGTCTATTCTCCGCCATAGTTGTCATCATTCATTTGCCAGTATATAGGCGGGATACATTCTGGCGATTTCTAATGCTGCTTCGTCTGATATGGTTTGAAACGCGCAGCATATTCGAAGCGCGCACAGGCGGCACGTTGCCTTTATGCCGCGTGGAAGAATGTCAGACTCAAGCACCGTATAGTATTTGGCTCTTTTGGCTAACTCTTGCGACTAATTGCCGCTGGCTTTGCTTTGGTCCGCGTGCTCTTTCGTTGACGTACTCGAGGTGGGATTTGAACGAGAGCCTCCTGTCTATCATGATACCCAGGTACTTAACTTAACCGCTGGCAGCGCAGTAATGTTGTGGTCGCCGATTTTCATTGGGACGAACTCCAACTTCTTCCTACTGGATATGAGCGCCGACTCTGTTTTCTGCTCCGCGAGCTGAAGTCCATTTTGCATAAGACACGACTGATCAGAAGCTATAGTTCCGTTTGCTATTTCGCTAAGATGTTTTGTAGTTACGACTAAAGCAATATCGTCTGTAAAGTCGATGATTTTGGCACCTTTGGGATTTTTAAGGCGTAAGACACCGTCGTACATGAAAAAAAATTAAAAAACACCCTGCTCTTTCCAACCCTTCTACTACGGGAACTTTCTGACCATATCTCGTAAAAGTTTTCTTCCGGGCAAGTTAGTTTTTTTTTTCAAATTAAATCCACATTCCGTACTCCTTTACAAATACAACTTAGACACTTTAGAGAACATTTATGTAAGCTTAAACATAAGCTTGAAAATAATTGAAAAATTTAGCTTTTATATTTAGTAGCTCGGTAGTATTTTAATTGCTTTTTTAGAAAGCTTCGAACAACATGATAGTGTAGTTGGCTTATATTTCAATTACACAATTATATAAAATTACAAACATTAAAGCGTACTTAGTACTTTTTTATTTAATGTAACTGTAGTTGTATATTTTAGCTGTTAGATATATACTTATGTACATCACCGTATGACCGTATCACCTTACAAAAAAAAATGCCCATACAGCTCTGCGTGTTAAGGTATTTTTGCAAGGCAATTTCAAAAAAGTTTTTTTTTGCCGAACCTAGGGGTCGGCTCAAAAATAATTATCTAAGAGAGTTCTACTGGAATAATGAAAATATTTCCGTTTAACCGCAATAATACTTTTTTAAAAAGTTCTACTGGATTAATCGAAAATTTTCTTTGACAAATTTGAATGATTTTTAGCGAGCTTTGATCTACTGGCATTAGGGTGATACTTTACGTGGGGTAAAAAAAATTGTTTTTCGAAATTGTCTCCTCGAGTCAAGAACATTGATATCGCACACGATCTTCAAAAGTGACACAACTCAAAATTGGCATTTTTGAAATTATGCACTAAAAATGTACACAGAGCCTTTATTTACCTTGCAGCAAAAGCTGGTGTAATTTTTTGTCATAATAATCATAATAATAGATTGGCGCTTACACATATGTTAGTGTTTGGCCGAGCTTCTCCATAACTTGTTGAAAAAACCTTAGGCCATATGATTATTTCTTAGTTTTTCGCTTTTCTGACGAACGTGTAATTTTGAGTTGTGGCACTTTTGAAGATCGTGTGCGATATATCTTAATTTGAAATCTGACTGTAAAAAACGACACCTACGTTCGGAAAAAAAAACACTCGAAAATGCCTTGGAAGCGAAGTACTATACGTGGCAATGATCTTTGAAAAAATATAAATATATTATACTTTAAGATCCAACTCTTTATGCTGAAGATATGGCGAAAAACGTAAAAAGGTGATCCTTACATTCGCAAAAAAAAATCGAAATTGCCCTGCAAGCATATTTTAGACACTCCTGAGTGTACAGCGACCTTTTTTTGGTTCAGTCTAATTTATTTATTAAAAAAAAAACTATAAACCATGAAATACTGCCTATTATACTCGCATATTATACAAAAGTGCATTAACTAAAATTTTTTCTATATTAAAAATGTTCGCAGCTTATATGTTTATCCTTCAGCAATAATTGAAATAATATTTAATTGTGATTTTCTGAAGAGTTTTTTTTCCGATTCATTTTCGCATTCACAGAATCAGTTTTTTTATATCCACATATTTTCTAATAATTGAGAAATTTGGAGTTAACGCGCTTTTGAAGACGAGTGTGATATGTATTTGTTAGTAAAAGGCGCTAGAAGTGAAAAAGTACAAACAATTTTTATAATTACAAACCAATTATTGGCTTTGCGGATTTTACCTGGATATTTTGGACAGATGGCAACCCTGCTCTGAAATGTTGCAAAAAAATTACAGGCTAAATTTTTCTACACAAGAAGTACTTCTCACTTCTAGCGGTTTCTACGTTAATGTTATAATTTTTATTTGGTTTTTATGCATTGTATAGTTTCTTATGCAAACTCTATAATAACCATACCCTCTACTGCATTTAGCTAATCCAAGAGAATCTGGAATACCAGGAGAAGGAGGCAATACGCTTACAAGAAATCAGTCAGACGCTACCCACAGACCCGGCAACAGAGCGAACACTCAACGAGATCAAGGATCGCATCGATCTTTTGTTGCGACGCACACAGCAAGGCATCACAATGATTGCGGTATGTCAAAGAAAAAAAGTTTAATCGCATATACTAATTGCTCCCTTTATTTTTCTCCTTCCCTCTCCAACTCCCACAGAACGCCATGCATGGACAGAAGAAGCGCGAGGAGGAGCTCAACGAATACCAAATGCATTTGATCGCCCTACAAGAATGGATTATGGAAGTATCACAACAGCTGAAGGACCTCGAGCCCACACCTGAAGTCGCCGAAGATGAGGAGCAGCTCAAAGCACAAGCCGAACGCAGCCAACAGCTGCTACGTACACTCAAGGATAAGCAGCAATCACTCGAAGAGTTAGTTGAAAAGACACGCCTGCTGCAGCAGCATGAAGATGTTGCGCCCATGGCCTGCGATCTGATGGATCAACTCGAGCATATTATAACGCTGCTGCGCGAACAAATCACTGTAGCCACTACGCGCATTTACACGATCGAAAAGACAATTGTGGAGCTGCGTAAGTCTAGACAGGAGGATGAGCATCGCAAGCGCGTTGCTGCCGAAGCATTGATACAGCCACCGACTAGCGTGGCTGCCGAAGCATCATTGATACAGCCAGCGACCAGCGCGCCAGCGTCGATTACATCGAATGCTAGCACAATTGATTCCGCACCAATGCCAGAGGAGGAGGTGAAACCACTCACCGCTGCTGGCGCACAGGTACAAGCAGTAGAAACTCAAACGTCCGAAAGTCTTGCCGTGCCACAGGCACAACCACAGGAGCCGCCACAGCCACAACCTATTGTAGAGACACACACTGTAGAAGCGCAAACTAGTTTGGTCGAACCTGTTGCGCCATTGGCTCCTTTTGTCGAAACTATTGAAACTGCCATGCAGACGCAGAAGGAGCGTAAGCCCACCGAGAACATTCTGGTCACATCAACAATACAAGCGGGACAGGAGACTATACAAATCGATACCATACCGAATAAGGAGATACCCGAAGTACCAGACGATGTTGAAATTGAAGCACGTTATCACCAACAGCCGCAAGGTGACGTCGATCGCGCCACCGAGTTGGTGTTGAAGAATGTGCCACAAGCCTTCGAGACTACCTTTGTTGAACCCGATCAGACAACCACTGAAGTAGTGGTAGATGCGGATGGCACCAAACACATCATAGTGAAGAAAGTGACGCGCACGCGCCAACAAGTGGTGCAGCATCAGCAAATCAGCTCAATTGCAACGGTTACCGATGCCGAAGGCAACATCCAGGTGCAATCCACCGGTCAACTGAATCTCGAAAATGTGCATACCGCAGATACCAGCGGCGATGATCAGCGCGGCTATCAGACAGTGGTAACGCAACAGACACGCGGCACTGTAGTCGACGGATCTGATCCGAATGCGATTATCGTTAAGGAGTTCGAGACCGAACCAACAGTGGAGCGGTACGAGCAATTGCAAATGCCTGAGGGTCAAACTGATATTGTCACTGTCACCACGGAGGGACCCGCGACTACAGCCACCACGCAAAGCAGCATACGCGCCGTTGTGCACCAAGTTACGCGTAAGATTATACGCAAGACGCGCAAAATTATTAAACGTATTGTGGTGATCGATGGTGTTGAGCATGTCACCGAAGAGGTGGTCGAAGAGCCAGAAGAGATTGAAGTTAGCGAGGAGGAGCTGCCGCCGCAAGTGAATGTGAACATCATACGCACTGTTAACGGTAAGGTGGTAACCGAGGAAGAATTCGAACGGCTGACAAAAGAACCCGGCGTTGTAATTGAAGAGGTTTCTACAGATTTATTAGAACCGACAGTGTCATCACCGCCGCCAAGCGAACCCGTTGAAGTCGAAGCTGTGCCGACGGTGACAGACGCGGTGCAGCCGCCACAGGTATTTGACATTGAAACTTCTACCATCACTACAACAACAACACCACAAACACAACCAACAACAACCAGTATTATAACTACAAGTACAACAGAAAGAACAAAAACAACAACATCAACAGACCAAGCACCAGTAGAATTTGTTGATTTGCCAGCACCAAAAGTAGTTGAACAAAGAATCATTGAAACCGTAGAAGCTACTAGCACTAGCCCCGTTAATATTCCAGCGGATTTAAGTACAACGCCACACGACGAAGAGCAGATAGTAGTAGTCGAAGAGACGATTACACCAAGCGTACAGACTACTGAACCCGTTAAAGCTATAGAAAATGTAAGTGATATTTGGCCCAGAGAGCATCATTTGATACCAACAGATATCGAATTTTCACATCACGTCGACGAGCCAGCCAAACCGGCTCACGATGTGATAGTAACAAGCGATTCAAAGCCAGTGGAGACAGTTTGGCCAATTGACGAAGAAACTGGTTATCCGGTTTCGCTGGAGGAATATAAATTTGAAAAGTTGGTGGAGCCAAAACCGCAGCCGATAGCGAGCGAGCCCACTGGGAAATCGCAAGTGGTTACAACAACAACTACAACTGTCACAACCACAGAAAAAGTGGCGCCTGAAGTAACTCATGAAGTGAGTGAGACAACTGAGGAACCAGCATCAGCAGTACCAATGCCACCATTGGCGTCATTCAAAGAACCCGAAGAAGACGAAGAAGAAACTGCAATAGAAACCTCAGTAACAATATCGCAATTGCCTACACTTGCGCCTGAAACTCAAGTATTAGCTCCCACACCCGTCGGCGAGCCAGAAGTTTGGCCAACAGAAGTTCAGGCGGTAGCTCCTAAGACACCCGAACCAGCAGTATTAGCACCAGAGATGCCTTTGCCTACAGAAATAATCAGCGTAGACGAGGTTACGGTAGTAGAACCTACAGCCGAGTTGGTCACTGAAGTGACTACTGTAAAATCAGAGAAAATCACTACACCTCCACTCGCAGCGGAACCACAAGCCATACCCGAACCAACAGCAGCTGAGCAGCTGCCGCGCAGCGAGCTTGAATCACTCACTTCTACCGAGACTGGCACAGCTACGCCACCGGAGGACAAGTTCCTGCAAGCTGCACTTGCACCTACACCTGCTGATACGAAATCCAAAATCGACATACGCGCTGCCACACAACTTTTCATTTCTGGTGAAGTATTGGCCACTGACAGCGATTCGCCACGCAAGTCGTTCACCGTAACAGCGCCCTCTATCGAGCAAACTGGCAGCGGTGTTTTGAAAGTTGTTATGACACCCGAGGAAGACATTGATCCCAATCAATTGCCGCCGAAAGTAACCATGACAATTGTTGAGACTACAACGGTGACGGAGACAGAGCGCGAAGACACCACGTCACGCGGCGATGAGTTGAATATCGCACCCGGCGATACCAAGCGAAGTCGCAAGAAAAAGAAAAGAAAGGAAGAAGTCGCGCCTGGACCTGAACAAAGCGAAGAAGAGCCCAAGGTCGAGGAACCTGAAGTGCCAGTATCAAGAGTTTCAGTATCCGAAATCGATATTGAATCTCCACATGAAACCGGCTATGAAGCAGATGACAAAACTCTGGATGATGGCGATACGGACGATGGCAAGAAGAAGCGCCGCAAGAAGAAGAAGCAAAAGGTCAAGGCACGCGAAGATGAAGAATCGCATGTGCCATCCTCAGAGGCGACGCCACGCGACATTGAATCGCCCAGCTTAGAGTCCGAAGGTAAAGTCAAGCACGAGGCAATCACTGAAATTAGTCCTGAGAGTGAAGCTACTAGCATTGAAGTAGATACTTCAGTAAAAGTGGTCGAAGAAGCCGTTGTGACGCCTGATTCCGAGTCACCACGTGAGCCCTTCACGGAGCTGGTCATACCTACAGAAGTAATAGAAATCGCCTACGTAGAAGATGAGCAGCAGCAGACAACGCCACGTGAAGAAGCACCTGCGCCTGCGCCGGTGCTTGAGAAGCCCATAACAGAGTTGAAGTCTTCTCAGACAACACCGGAGCACAAACCAAAGCATGAAGAAATATCAATGCAAACCAGTATTGAAATCGCGCCTGAAATACAAGACACCGAGGCGCAAACAATAACAGTGGAGGTGACGGAAACGGAAATTCAGACAACACCACGCACTGAAGAGACAGTCGCGCAGATAGTGGCAGAGCCGAAGGAAACTGAGGAAGAAGCAGTGCAAACTGACGTGGCGTATGAAGAGCCTGTACCTCCAGCAGAAGTGCCAATAAAGCCCGAAACTACTGAAATATCGAGTCAAACAATTGTTGTTACCACAATTGAAAAAGAGCTACAGACCACGCCTAAGGAGTCACCACACACGCCTGAGCCCAGCAGCACAGACATCATACAGCCGTTAGTGCAGGAGCTGGTAAAGGATATGACTACTGATCTGCCTGCTGAAAAAGTAGAAAAGTCAGATCAAGCAATTGGCACCGAGCCCACAGTTACGCAAGAGATTCATGTGCAAACCATCACACCCGAACCGGTGGAGCATGTTAGGCCAGCCAGTACACCCGAACCCGTGATCGAAGAATTTATTGAACCGGTGCAAGTGGTGAAGGCACCCGCAGAACAGCGCGACCAGCACACGACCACCTTTGAGTTGACTCAATTTGTAGACTCAACTTCGCAGACTACACCACGTCACGAACCGAAACCGCAACCGCAAGAGGTGGAGCAGCCAACAGCGGTAGAGCGGCCTGTGGTGGTGGAACAGCCAGAATCGTTGGAGCAACCAGCATCCTTGGAGCCACTAACATTAACGGAAGATATATCATCAACACTGACTTCCATATCCGAGCCCTACAACATAGAAATACAGACCTCTGTGGCAATACCACCCGACACAGATAACTCTGAAATGGAGCCTGTTGTATATGAACATACACAAACCATTGAATTGCCCAAGCGTGATAAAAAGAAGAAAGATAAGAAAAAGAAGAAAAAGCATGCGCCACAAGAGGATGAGGAATCGCTGTCCGAACAGCTACCCGAAGTAAATGTTAATATTGAAATAGCAAATGACATGGTACCTGAAGCGGGCGTCGTGGTTACCACCACTCAACATGTGTCAGAGCCTGTTCAAGCGGCCGACGACAAAACAACGCCTGATGTAGAAAAGAAGCCCCAATTGGTGCAGCTGCAAATCACTAAAACTACAGTTTACGAGGAGTTCCCCGATATGCAGTTGCAAATTAGCGAGCAAAGTAAGGTCAATGTGTCCGGCCAACAGGCTGGCAAACCGCGTTCTAGACCCACTTCTACGGTCATGATTGAGGAAGTCGGTTCACCGACCGAGGAGCTAGTTGTACCCATTACGCCAGGTCCAGACAAGGAAATTCCCGAAAGCACGGCTGACAGCATTTGGTTAACCGCAACATCCGCTGCCATTGACGTGGATAAGACGCCGAAAGACGCTTCCCAGGCAATGATTATGTCCGAAAGTCTGCAACACTATCCCGGCCCACAGGTGCAATCAAAACCAGTTGATGTTTGGGCGGAAACGAAACAGGTGATAGGCGGACGCATAAGATGCTTGAAAGAGTCTACGCCAGAGCATACGCCACTCAGCAATGTCCTACATTTGGCTACGCTTTCCGACAGAATAAAAGATGTACCCGTCGAGGTGCGCGCGCAGGAAGTCAATCAAGGCTTGCATGATTTGGAAGACGCCGTGAAGCATGGTGATCGCACTGTGATCGAAACCACGGTCATAACTGTAATTGAAAAGGTATCAACATGGCTGGAAACCATTGAATATCGCGTCTATTTGATCAGACAGAACTCCGATGAGGGTCCATCTGAGGAAAAGTTGGACAATTATAATCAACTGAACGATGAGCTCAGCACCATTAAGACAAACGTCAACACACTGGAAACGCAGCTAGAGAAGGCTGATCACTTGACCGGCCCTGAGGTGCAGCAATGCGTGGATGCGCTCAAGGAGCACGTCGATGCTGTGCAAGGCATAACCAAAGACAACCAGGCGCAAGATTCTAAGGAGTTGGAGAAGTGGAACAACTTCGTTGTGTTGATACATCGTAGCACCACAATTTTGGAAGAACTACAGGAGCGTTACGACACCATCGTGGCGCAAGATCTAACGCTGAATGCGAAACTGCGCAGCCTTGACGATTTGGAGGCACAAAATGCGGACGTACAAAGTAGCATCGCAGAGTTGACGCACAGCGCACGCGCATTCCAACGCAACTTCCCTGGCAAAAAAGTACCGCAAGACCTTTACAATTCTTACGAAGTGTGCAAGAATATCGAAAACAACATACTTGCTGAGCGCGATCGCTTACTACAGTTGCAGTCGCTAGGCGAAGAGTACGAGCAGACGCTCAAGGAGTTCACAAACATCACTGTGCTGGCCGATAAAATGGTTGAAAGTCCCATTATTTCCAGCTCATTGGAACAACTCAACAACGAAGTGCAGAAACATCGCAAATTCTTTGTCAACTTGAGTCATTGCCGCGCAATGCTGGAGTCGCTGGAAGAGAATATCGACTCCGAAACGCGCGAGAAGCATGCCGAGTTGCATAAAGATCTCTACAATCGCGCAACTGTGCTGTTGGAGAAAGCCTCCGAGCGCTCATCGAAATTGGTGCAAGCTGCTTCGCGCTGGACTGTGTTGGAGAAGGGCATGAAGGATGAATTGCAATGGCTGCATGTTGCACAGCAGCGTGTACCTGATTTGTCCGCTGTAACTTCGGCTGATTACGATCAATACACAACACTCTACCAGTCACTTAGCACCGATATCTCGCATCACTATCTAAAAATGACACAACTATCGAATATTGCGAACAAATTACAAGACCTCGTGCAATCGCCTAATCTGGTCGAGGAGACTAATGAAGCGCTCATTGTGCTATTGAAATTGCGTGAAGAAGTCTCTTTGTACCTGCATCGTCTGCTCGTCTTCAAAGAGATCTGGGCGCAGTATGAAAACCAAACCGACAAAATCGAAGCATTTGTGCGCGAGGCTGAAAGGGAATTGCGCCAAATTCATATACCCGAAGATCCGCTGGAGCAACCTATCGAACATATGCGCCAGTTCTGGGAGATGAAAGCGCATTTCGAAGTGCACAACAATGTACGCAACTTGGCTGGACATAGTTTCGAAAAGGCGCTGCAAGTCATACCGCTCGCTGATGAGATGCTGCAACGCCAATTTCACGCGCAGCTCGAAGAACGCTGGCAAAATATTGCTACGTCGATCGAGCGCATACAAAGCAACATTGTCAACAGCCTCGCCTCGCAAGATGTGCCAGCCGAAGATAAATTAAAGTTGGTGGAACGTGAGCTGCAAGAAATCTACCTCACCATGACCAGCATCAAGGGCGTCATCAAGAACGAGGAGGAGCTGTGTCTCTACATCGAACGAATTCAAGTATTACGCACGCGTGTTGGCTTCATTGGCAACGAATTGGGACGCATTGGTCTGCAAGATCCCGCCATTGAACCAGAGAAGGTGGGTGAACTCTTCGCGCTCTCACACAAAATCAACACACAGATTGCCGAAGAATTGGAGGGTGCCTCCGTGCTGCGCGAACAGCTGCGCGCCATACAAGACGGCATACAGAATTTGCGTAAACATCAAACAAAACTTTCCGTCATACTGGATGAATGTGAAAACGCTGAAAAATTGAGCAGCGAAGCAATAGAGAAGGCGGTAAACGACTGTCAGGCGGTGGGTGAAGATCTCATCGGCAACTGGCAAGAAATCATGCGTCTCCGTCAAATGTTGCATACGCTGCCAATGCGCTTGAAAATGTCTGTGTCACCAGTGAAACTGGAGCGTGACATATCGCAGCTACAAGACGATCATGCTTTCTTGGAGAGCAAATGCACGAACATTTTGGGTATACTAAGAAATCGTTTGGCGTTGTGGACGCGCTATGAGCGGCAATTGGAGATGGTGCACGATTCGGTGCAAGAGACAGACTTTATGATGGAACTGTTGAAGGTGCACGGCCAGGTGGACTATGAGCGACTACGCAAGGCCACTGAACGGCTAGAGGTGAGTAAAATGTGGCAGGGTTATAATATACGTATATGTATGCGTGGGGATTGTGCAAAGGCTTGCGACGTAATGCTTTACTATAACTGAGCAAATTGAGCAATTAATAAATTTGAGTTCTAGAAAGCTCAGGTAGCAAGTTGACAAAATTGAGGAATCCAGAAGTTTTATAAATTTAGTTATTAATTGAATTCGGTTTATAAATTGCGCGTTTCGTGTAAACTTAATTACAACCAAATTTAATAAAATAATCTGAATCAATTAGAAGGGTCATTGTGTTACCACAGTTGACACCGTTCAATTATCTTCCCTATTAAACCACTTCGTGTTGCTGATGAATCTCATCAGGCACCTCGCATCGGTGAACCCAGATGACGCAGCAGTTCTTTATCAGGAATAATCTGCCTGGTCGTGCCTTGCCTTGCAAGTTCATCTGCCATGCAGTTTCGCTCTATGTCCCTATGACCAGGGATCCAAGTGAAGTGAAAGTTATTCTTTGATTGATCTCCAGGCTGACATCGTTGGTAGAGGAAGTCCTTCAACACTTCAAAGTTATAACTAACAACAGTGACGTGTGTCGCGATACGCGAAGACCCTGCGTAAGTTGCTGGGATATCCTTGCCTTCTTTTCCTGCACCACTAGGCCAACCTCTATTGCTCCTTTTTCTAAGATGGAAAATCCTGCGCTTACGAGCCTGGTATTGAGTTCCACGATGTCAATGACATCTGTATTCGCCAGCCACTTCGTGCTCTCGTTATATTTGTATGGTGTCGCTGCGATTCAAATTAACAGCTCGTATGTAGTATGTTTACCAACATCAGATTGAAGAATTCGCCGTATTAGTTTTGTAGGTGTCATAAATTCGTGTATTTAAAGCAGCTTTAAAATCGGCAACTAGGTTGCTTATAAGATATTTTCTAGGCTTCGAAGTAATATGAAAAGCTGGTCTGGTCGCTAAAGTCTGTTTTTTTAAGGTCTGAATCCACACTGATAAATAATGGCCAATCAGTTGATTCATGAAGGCCTTCAGTATATCGCACAGAATTGTCAATAGGACCATATAGGCAATGGTCTGAAGGCATATTCCACGATAATTGGCACAAACGGCGGCAACCATGGTACATGCGCCAGACCAGCTTATTGCCACCGACTATATACCATCGGCTTCCGATGCCTATTTGCTCTCTACTTCAGTTAATTTCTAGTAAATTTTCCACTGGGTGGCAACCTTATTTGGCAATATATGTCTAAAATGTGAGTCAATTCACTGACTAATAACTTTTGAGCTTCGTGTGTACTATTGACTTTCTACAAATTCTACGTGCAATAGGCACTTACATATATTTATATTTACTTCCTAAACGAAAATTGAACCTACAAACATAGCAAATCTCCATATCCGATAGCCCTTTTTGAAAACACTTTATAGTCTTCTGAAGTTATTGGGCATTTGTTTTTTACTAGGGTTTCCATCTTTATCGTTCACTTCAGTAAATTTTTTCCTTTAAGGTTTCATAATATTTTCCACTAAAAATAAGCCACTTCTTTCCACACCAATTTGGTATGTTTTGCGATATTTTTAAGGCTACCAAGACAATTGTAAAGAAAAATATAATTAGCCATGTCCAATGCGGCAAATGAAGTGAAAATGAAGCGCTTAGCATATTTAGAAGTGTACGTCCATTACTCAGGCACATATGAACATTCAAACATATGTATATTACGTATGTATATGTATGTACTAAGTATGTACATTAGAGTGTCTCACCAAAAAATTGTACAGTTTTTTCCATCGGAATTATAAAGTGTATTATAGTAAACTTTGAGTAGCAAAATAACATGCATATATACATATGTATGTACATGCCATGTATGTGTATGCCATACGAAAAAATAAAAAATTGATACTGTTTTACATTTTAACACTTATTGTATTTTAAGACAGCTGTCAATATATTTCGACAAAATATTAAGATTTACGTGAGCTGGACCGATTCGAAAATAGCTCTAAAACTGTCATTATTTTGATGCCGTCGATAGAAGCAGTTTTGAGCATTTTTATGCAGACCTTGTAATCTTTTAATCATTTATCTTTTATATTTTTGGGGAAAAAACATTTTTAAACTAATTATATAAAAAAAAAAATTTAGGTATTCAAATCGGTCCAGCTCACGTAAATCTTAATATTTTTGCGGATTATTTTGTCAGCTGTCTTCAAATATAATAAGTGTTAAAATGTAACACAGTACCATTTTTTTTGTGTGACGAGTGATACACCCTAATGTACATACATGTATGTACATATATATGCATGTAAGTATGCTACTCAAAGTTTAGCAGCGCCTACGAACTTGGTGCCTTAAGTATGAGGAGTAGCAACTGAACACACATTCGCATGTGTCAAGAATTTGGGTCTGCCATTAGAAGTGGTGGCATAGAGAGTGTTTAGTCGTCGGCCATTCGGCGGCCGATTGTGGCGCGACAGTGGGCCGCACAAAGTTAGGAGCGCTTGAGGTTTAGCGCTTTTAGCTGGTTAAGTTGTATTTGCTTGTTGCTGTTGTTGTTATTTTTTTTTTACTTCAATACATTGTTTTGAAAATATTTCCTTTGGTTTTGCTTTTGTGTTTTTGTAATTTTTTTTTGCTAGCCCTTTTGTGTTTTGTTACTTTTTAGTACGTGCTAAGCTTTCGATGCGAACGGATGCCGATAACGGCAAAACATGCTAACGGCAATTTAATAGGAAGCATAGTAAAAGTGTAGTTGAATGCTTAATTAGCGGAAATGTTTCGTAAAGGAATGCCATAACAATTTGAAAATACTGAAAAGTTTTAAATGAAAATACATATACGCGCTTGCAACCTTTGCACTAATTTCCTGTGAATATATCTAGTACTATATAGTATGTACGTGCATGCATACCCTAAAGTGTGTTAGTTATTTATTGAAGTGAATTTCCTTCTTTTTTGTTGGTTTCCAAAAATCAGGGTCTTGCTGGTGATTTGCAAAATCGTGAAACACTCTTGGACGACTTAAAGTCCTCGGCTAAGCCCCTTATCGAGACGTGCGATGTGCAAATTGTCGAACAAATCGAATCGGCCGTACAGGAAGCGGTTGTAGCTTGGAATGATACTTCAGATAATTTACAACAATTATGTACGCGTTATCAACGCGCCGTTGAATTGTGGGAGAAATATCGTAACGCATCGGCCGCTGTACGCAATTACGTTGAACAGCAAATGGATGCGGTGAAGAATTTGGAACAACCACTGGAGACGTTGCAAAATGCGAAGGTAAGTGATTGTTCTTGCTAAAATTTATTCGTTGTTTTATGTTGCTTGAAAGTGCGCGATTTAGCTAAACAGTTAGTATTTAAAATAGGATTTAAAATATCTACGACTAAAAAGTAGTAAATTAAGAGTATAGCTTACGGATATAATCAATCTCCTTGATATCCCACGGCACGGAACTATCGATGACCTTGCCAGGCACCAGCATATGAAGTAATTATAAATTCTTAGAAAATTCACAAGTTTTATCTCATATTTTAAATCAAAATTTTAAAATTTAATACTTTTATATATATGTAAAGGCATGCTCCACTTTAGAAAACGTAAAAATTCTAGATTTAACTTTCAAATTTAAATACCACTAACAGCCGATTTCACCAGCAATTTAAGTTGAAAATGATTTTTTATATTCTGTCAATTTCCATACAAAGTTAAAAAAAATAAAATCATTTTGCACTTAAATTGCTTTCGTGAAATTGGCTGTAAAATTTGTAAGTTGCGAAATTTCGAAATCGGTCGCTATGGAAAACTTAAAGTGAAGACTTAAACAATTTTTGAAATTATAAACTGAATATACATATATGAAGAAAAACATACTGAAAAAAAACCTGGAAGATCACGAATATCGTAAAAAATTAAAAGTTTAGTAACCTTTATTTAAACCAAAATATTGCTACTCTTCTATATTCTTTTGGTAAAAAAAATAAAGTTACGAATTTCGTAAAAAAATCCATTTTTTTAATTTTTGTTATTGCTTCATTAAATAAAAAAAACAAAAATGTTGCTACTCTTCTTTCCAATAAAAAATGACGTAAAATACCCCATTAAAAAAAAAAACTGAAAAATCGCGAACTATGTAAAAAAATTAAAACTTCAGAAAATCACGAGCTCGTTAAAAAATACAAACTTTTGTAACTTTTATTTAAAAAAAACCAAAAAATAAAAATTTTACAAATGTTTTTTGTAATAAAGAATGACTCACAAATACCTAAGAATCTAATTACCTCTTAATTTTATTAAAAACACTGCTCACACAAAAAGTGTTTCGAAATTTTCATTTTTTTAATTCCTTTTTAGGATAATATATATTATTATATTATATATTATAGAAATCGGTTAACGTGGTTCCAAATTATGCGGTAACATACATAAAAACAAAATTCGAAGAATTAAAAACCTCCTTTTTGTGAAGTCGGTTAAAAAGAGGGCATGCGGTTTATCTTCAATTGAAAACTATTTTATGGCCTTATATATCTTTTTTTTTTTGGAAAACTTCAAAAGTTAAAAAATTACGAGCCATGTTATGTCACAGCCGAATATCCGGATAGTTGGTTTTTAAAGCGAGCTCTACCGAACACATTGGATGACCTAAAGATTTTCACCGTTCTTGTTATTGGTAGCTATAATTTTCATAGCCCACTTTAATGAAAAAACTAGACTCATTACAAAACAAAAAAACATAAAAAATAATAATTATGGATGCCGCATAAAAAAAAGTTGCTATTTTCCACCGGAATTATAATACTTAAAATATAATTTTAGAACTGCTGCCAAATAATTAGGCCAAGTATTAAGGTTTACTTGAGCTGGAAAGATTTCAAAAAAAAAAAAAAACTAATTTTTGATATTATAAAATATTCGGTTTTTGGAGGTATTCTAAAATTAGTCTACCTCGCGTAACGCCAAATATTTTGGAAGAAGTCCTTAAATATAAAAATGGAAAAACCGTACCTTTTTTTTTTGTTTACACAGTGATGCACCCTAATAAACATATGCGCATAGTCGGTCGAAAAATTTTCTCACTTGACAACAAAACTACTTTTTTGGAAGCTTTATTCTTAGCGTTTTCGGCTTGCGACTTGAAGAGTTACAACCAAATAACCGTTGCGAGTTAAAAATATAATGCCCTTTATATGTTACTGTTATAAATAAATCTTAAATTAGGTATTAGCTGTCGCCAAGATTAATCGATTATTGACCATTATAACATACATATAACCCGTTATTTGTAGGTTCATTAGAGTAAAACGATCTATTAATATTCTTCTGTCAAAGGGCCAAAAAACCAAATACTGAGTTGGATTAATAGAAACTTACATAGTTAGGCACATGCATACATATGCATGTATGTATGTGAATACTAGATATATTTATACCCTATGTACGTATGTAAATAAGTTTACTAATTAAACAATAAACACTATCCAAAAGCGATGGTCTAAATTTAGTAGATGATGCAAACTATGTATAAAAAAATAGCCAACTGTTGGGGGCGTGAATTCGTGTTCGAATTACAAATCATTTGTAAAGTTCAACGGCTCAAGTTTGTTACTTATTTTAATCAGCAGCTACATACATACATACGTGCATGCAAACAAAATAATCTGAATTGATTACATAGAAAATATTGTGAAGGTCAGCATTCAGTAGTCAATAAAGTAACTTTTTTGCTTGTAGGGTTTTTTAAGAAACTTCCATTAAATAATTCGGATCTACTTTACAAACCGTGGAGTAGCACATTTCATAGTGCTCATATGAGTATTTAATTTAAAAACCGAAAGTGACGAGGCACAACTAGACTGTGTTTTCCCGAAGAAAGACTAATCTGCTTGTCATTGCACTGGCTACAAATATTTTCTCAGATATAGAGGCTTGCAAGATATCAAAGAAGTTCTAGCCTGACTATAATAGGACTTCCCTTTAATACGTAAATACATAGAAACGAGCTAGTGGTATTGACCTTTAGTCGGCGGCAGAACTTCATTCTCGATACGTAATGAGTTGGGTGACTGCGTAAAGGAGACCCTAGACGGTCAATCAAATGATTGCATAAAGGATGACTGGGCGTCTATGAACCTCATTTGTGCTTTACTGATGACTCTGATTGAGAAGCGCAAGTGGTGGACGATTGTGCTGTACCGTGAAGCCAATTTTGTGCAATCATTACGTCAGGCAGTTAGTTCCTCAGCTCACGCTCAGGGACAATGTAGTGAAGAATTTGAATATTTTCCAAATCCATGCTAGAAGTCGGTACCCCACTGTGACATCTTCACGACAGACCTTCCGAGTCGAGAACTCAATTGAGAACGAGTCTTTACCAAAATATTGATGGCTTGTTTTAAGATTAATTGGAGTGAGCATAAATCGATGGAAATTTTGGCCGAAAGTCGCGAAATTTTCTTGAATTGCCGATTTTTTTTTTACAAAGTTGAACTTTAAAGTTGTTAGTTTTTGATATTTTCTGGTTTATTACATTCTACTATACTAGGACGGCTGTCTTTATGGGTGGAAACGTATTTAGACTAGTGGATTAACTGACTTTATAGCGTTTGTGGTAGAAAACCGCTCAGTTCCAGTAACAAAGCCCCGAAAGTGCGTAATCCCTGTTCCCGATAGCTCCACGCGAGCCCAGAAATAAGATACAAGGAGTTTAAACCTAAAATTCGCGTTGACTGGGCAGCTGAGTTGGAGTTGTTGCGGACATTTCACCTCATCATTCTTCATACAGCTGCAGTAGTAGGGGCTTGAAGTGATGTTGGGGCTGACCGCATGAATTCCAATAGGACAATGACCGCTTAAATTGATCTACCACCAGTGTGGAAAGATGTGGCCAGGGGAGTTTGAAGAGCTCCCTGATCCTCACCGGTCAACACGTGAATAAGAGGCCCTCTTCGATACCTTGCATGCAAGGCGTTCGCTGAGCTTAGTAAGAGTACATCCGTCTAGAAGGGGTCCACATGTAGCCAATGGTGCTCATTTCATTTCCTCATTTACTCGGCGACAGTTCTTCAGTAGTGTCCTGAATTGTCAACAACAACGGCTATGCAGCTGCTTCGATATCGTTGTGGCATGGAACCCAAATAAGCTTGATAATGAAATAATTTTATGCATTCGAGAGAAAAATCGGGCATTCCCTGATCGCTTCCGCTTTCGTACATATGTACATATTTAGTATTATCAAAGGACTAAGGAGCTTTTTTGCCGTCTGACTATCCGAGTACGTAGTAAGTACTGGGTTAATCCGCGAGCCTTATTTGGGTTTAATTAAGAGTTCCACCCACCTTTCTATCCAGTTTCGATCCATTCGAACCTCTGTGGAGGGAAAGTGGGTGGTGAATGATTCGTTCTGACCCAGCGTCGATATGCTGTGAATCGTAAATATTTAAAATATTACCAACCTTTTTTTTAGCGCGAACCCACGATATCGAATTCTTGCCACTGCGCAAAAATTTGTTTGCTTATTTTACTGTTAATTTACACAGTTGCAATTTTATTGTTCCTTGTAAGAAAGTGAAATTTACTGATAAATGTAGTATAGTACAGAAAAAAACAAAAAAACAAATTAAAGTAAAATAAAATTTAAATAAAAAAACATTTTCCTTTCAAGCTTATCTGCGGTTATTAAACTGAAATATATGTATATATATAATGAATGTATGTGCATGAGTAAATATGCATACATATTGATGTCTATGCTTAAAGTACGTATGTATGTATGTGTGTATGCAAATATGTTTGCACTTCACTGTGGAAACCAAGCAAGAGTTAATGTAATTTCCATCTCAAGCTTATCGCAATTTTTAGTATTTTTTTTTTATAAAGTTAAAAAACAACAGCAGCCAATATTTGCTGTACTAAGAGTACAATGAAATCATGAATTTATGAAGGCAAGGAAATGAAGTAAATAAATGCGTCGCAGCAATAGTTGGTTTAGAAACCATTTTTTGCCTTACGATTACTGAAATCTTTCGGAGATCATATTGCGACTGCTACAATTTCGTAATTTTTTACTTAATTTTTTTTTTTTTTTTGTATAATGTATGCATGTAGTGCACATGCTGACAAATTAATTAGAAGCTGTCGGGCGGCAATGTTGGAATTTTACAAATCCCATTTCAATGTCGAAAACGTGCAGCATAGATAAGCATAGAGCATATGTAGATAGGCTAGAAGATTATGTACATATATGTATAAGTCACATCTAAGTAAGCAGAGACAAGCGAATTTTTCATAACAAATTCTACTTGCATACGTTTTTACCTGTGTCAGCACAACATAGGATTAGATGACATCACTGTGATATCATAGCAGCATAGAAATTGTATGAACAACAAACAGTTCGTGAATTCCGATCATGTCTGCTAGATAATGCGATAAAGTAATGTGTCGGTAAAATCGCTTTTAAGGCATTTTTAATGTGCATAATTTTATGCTAAAAATCAGTGAGCACCAAAAAAAAATTTTTCCCGTCATGGGGCACAAAGCGAAGGTGAGCGATAGGGTGCCACGTTGACACTACATACCAGCGTAGGAACAGCTTAGGTATACATAAGTATGTATTCAGCATGGTTCAGGTGACACAATTTAAAATTACACGTCTTTGTCAGAAAATGCGAAAAACTATTTCTTAGCATATGCTAATCATATGGGCAAGGAAGACTTTACCTTAGGAGGTGTTTTCAACAAGTTATAACAAAAATTTGCTCCAGCTTTTGCTGAAAGCTAAACAAAAGCTCTGTGTAAATTTTTAATGCATAATTTAAAAAAATGCCAAATTTTGAGTTGTGTCCGTTTTGAAGATCGTGTGCGATATTTTAGCAAGCACGATATACTACCAATTTCGAATAGTCATGGAAAATAAATCCTATTTCGGATGCGTCATTGCGAAGACTTAGTAAGCGTCTTGGCGGCTAAAATAAATGCCTTCGCAACATTTATTATTAAGCGATTCGTATTCTGTAGAGAAAACTATTTGCCAATCCACTTGCATAAATGAAATTCACCTTTATCGATCTGTAGATCATATTCAACAATTTTTATTGAGCTTGAGGCCGTGTTTAATGAAAAACTTATTGTGGAAAAGCAACAAAAATTTGAAAAAATTGTAGAAGCGATAGCCATTTCGGAAATCACCACATTTCCTCATCAGACTTCTTCAGCGGGATTCGAACCCGCGACCCGTTGCCTACGCACTATGCTAAGTTCGCCTTATAAACTGCTGTTGATTTTTTCCACTTTTTTCATGTGAGCCAACTACAATCAAGCGCAGCTATTCCAGTTCCATTTTAAACTTGATCATGTGGTTGTTGGTTTTTGTTAATAATGCTATTTTTTAGAATGTTTAACTTTTACTTGTGCTCGTCCTTAAGTTATTTGTTTTTGTTATTTTATGGCCTTATAACAATTATATTCAACAATTTTTATTGAGCTTAAGGCGTACGCATCGGCTAGTGTATTAGTAAAAACATACGTACATATGTATATGTACACGCATATGTACATATGCAATAATTCCATGAAAGTAAATTTTTTTTTTACTTCAGATAAAATCAACTACTAAAGTAAAATCAATTCTTTTGGATAAGTCAACAAATACATATAATCCGAGTTAGTATGTTCATATGTATGTATGTCTGCTTGTATTTATATCTGCGTCCACACCATAGTTAATGTAGCGTGCTATCGCATGTGCCTAACTACTTACATACATATATGTATATATATATATGTATGTACGTCAGTGCTTTTTAGTTCGTTAATATCATTTCAGCGGTCAGTATATAATTGACATTCGTGTGAACCGGACTTTACCAAAAGTTTCAAATAGAAATAAAAGTCAGTATAAAAGAAAACTAAAGAAAAAAATAATAATAGAACAGCACTTAATCGAGCATAAATGTATTTACATATACACACACTTATTTAATTAAAGTGCATAGGTGCTAGCGTCACGCAATCAATAATTTGTCGTTATTGATCTCCCTATTCCCGTTCAACTCAATTCTAACTGAGTCACTCATACGCCGTGCCGACCATTAGTAAGTAAAGAATCTATGCACAATGTGAGTTTGCAGCTGAAGTATTGCGCTTCCGAACAATACAAATGTTTGCATATACATATGCATGGGCATGGGGAATTATACTAAGTAAGCATGTGCTTAGCTAACTACACATGTATGTGAAAAGGTAGATTTATGCATACATATTCACAATATAAAGTGTCTGCAAAGTAAACGAAAAAGAATGTCAATGTACGCGCGCGCAAAATAGCCGCTAGAAGAGGCACGTACATAATCGCAAGACAACCGCAAAGACAGGAATTTAAAATTGGACTAGACAGTGTGTGTGCTAAATGCATTATAAAATAAAGAAGTGAGCACAGAAGTGCGACTGCTAGCATATATGTATACGAGTACATACAGTGACGAACAAAAGTATTGGCACAGTGAATTTTTCGCCATATATGCAAAGTTTTTTATTCTAATTTATTTTCGATAATTTTTTATAAAAATATAGTTCACTTTACACCAGAAAACGTAATAATAAAAACTCTAAACTTTGCGCAAAACTCAGGAAAGTTCATTAAATTTGCACACTAATTTGCAACTTTTTATTCAGATTTTTTAGAAAAACTCTAAGTATGCAGTTTTATAGCCCATTCAAATTTGAATATAACAAAGTGCAAGTTTAAAGTCGCTAGAAATTCGCGTTGAGTTTTGGCAATTTTTTTAGTGGAAGGTGTTACTCATTTTCTCCATACAAAAAATAATTGTCGAATTACTATGTATGGAAGAACTTGCGTGAAAAAAAATTACCAAAAATCAATGCGATTTTCTAGCGACTTGAAACTTGCCCTATGTAATACTAAATTTGAATGGGCTATAAAACTGCATACTTAGAATTTTTCTAAAAAATCTGAATAAAAAGTTGCAAATTAGTGTGCAAATTTAATGAATTTTCCTGAGTTTTGCACAAAGTTTAGAGATTTTATTATTATGTTTTCTGGTGTAGAATGAACAGTATTTTTATAAAAAATTATCGAAAATAAATTAGAATAATGAACTTTGCATATATTGCGAAAAATTCACTGTGCCAATACTTCTGTTCGGCACTGTACATACACGCATATGTTTATGCTGCCAAGTATTATAAAAACTATGCTATAAGCAGCAGTCACTTCTTAGACAGGAATTAGATGAGTAACTCGTGTGCTAAATAATTTATTTAAAGCACCGTACATATGTATAAAAAATCGCTGCACTTTTAAGTTGTCTCGCCTTTCCGCTGCATATTTTTTGCCAACAAGTACTTAGTTCTACTTAATTTATTTTCTTTCTTTTTTTCTGCCCTTCCCGCCATACAGGTTTGCCAGGATAATTTGAATTCACAAACGGATCGCTTGTCCGAGCTGCGCGATATCGTTACGAAAATAGCCGCTGATATTGGTTTGGATGCCTCTGGCCTTATGCAAGGTGAATTGGATGCTTTAGGCCAACGCTTGCAAGATTGCAAGGAGGCCATTACCACATTGGCGAATGTGGCGGAAGCCAAGGATAAAGAACGCAAGGCAATCGAGGAGAATGTGCAACAAACAAAAACGTACTTGAATAATGTGCAGAAGGTGAGTTGCAATGGATTTTAGCGAAAACAAAAAAAATACTATTGTATTGTTAGGGTGCATCACTTTCCATACGAAAAAAAAAAAAAAAAATTGGTACTGTTTATCCATCGGTATTATAAAATTGATTATATTTTAAGACCTTCGCCAAAACTTTCTAAGATTTATGAGAGCTGAACCGATATGAAAATGTATAAAAAAAAATTGAGTTTTTGGTAATAAAAATAATATTTTTTTGTTGTTAATTTCTGTTCCAACAACAATTTATTTAGAAATTTTTTTTTGTTGTAATTGATGCCATAAATTATTGCTGTTTTTGCACAAAAGTATTCATTAATAACGGCCTCAAGCTGATTAAAAATTTTTCAATAAAAATAAATTCAATAAATAGAAAAGATCAAGCTTAGAGGGACTACATAAAAATGTTAAAAAATAACGCGATTTTTGTAGGTATCTTCATTTAAATCTTAATATTTTTTCGAAATAATTTGGCGAAAGTCTTAAAATATAATAAAACTTATAATTCCGATGGAAAAGCAATAACAGTTTCCATCCAGTGATCCATCCTAATGTACATACACATAAACTATGTAGTGCATGCTGCATATATTCAACTAAGATATGCTCATGTGCAAAACTATGGATATATTCACACATATATATTTATACAATTTGCTGCTAATTGCCGCTACGCATGCCACGAAATGTTTATTCATGTGGCAGCGAAATTATTCGCAGGTTGCCATATGTTTTCGCATACATACATATATACCTACATATGGAAATATGAATGTGTACAACACTCACGAATAAGTTTATTAATCCTCTAATAGAATTAAATGGTTCAGATATTATTTAGTGATATCAAAAAGATTTCATTGTTTCTCCTTCCGAGTTTCAATCATTGATTTCATTAATTTATTAGCGGATTTCGTGAAGAGCGTGCACACCCATGTATAAAAATGTTTGTACATACTCTGGCATGAAAGTATACAACAGTTTACGGCTCTAGGCAAGCCCACGGCATAAAATTGGAAAACACGCGTGACTGATGAGTTCTCTTAAAACAAAATTATTTGAAATGAGACACCAATATTTAACACGAAACAATCAGTAAATTAATTGAAGAAGCCAATAAAACTTGCGAGGGTAAGCCAGTTGTCAAATTTTCGTTTTAATACGCTTTACAATCGAGTTTGATACAAATCTTTTTAATAAAAAAAAAACCCTCGAAGTCAGCTAAAGACTGAAGAAGTTGTAATACTTTTAAGGAAGATGTTGGTACAAAATTAACTGCGAATGCAGAGGACCTAAATACGTAGTTATCGTCATTACATGAGATAAAAGTGTAGATATTTTTAAATCCTTCTTCACTTGGTCCTTCCATTTTGTTCGCGGGTGCCTTTGCTCTTGCAGAGGTGCTCGTCCATTGTTACTTAGTGTCAAAGCCGGCACAGTAGTTGTACTTCTATGTGCTTAACTACATAGTCCATGTTGTTGAAAAGCTGGCCCATTTCAGCATTCCATCTTCTTCGGTACCCGTCGGCAATGCAAAAATGCCCACCGATTTTGGGTAGAGTTGCTCGAAAGCCCAAGGATCTTCTCATTTTTGTTTCTGCGCCATGTTAAATAACATTCATGATGAGAGCTGCGTAGAGCTTAATTTTTATCGGTCGAGAAGGGATTTTGCTTTTCAATTGCCAACCTCATCTTTCTAAAATCGCAAAATCGGGCACAAAAAAGAAGACATTAACTATCCAAATGAGGGCATCCGCGCAACTCCGCGGCTCATTTTCAAACAAAAATTTGTTAAGAGAGTTTGAGACTACTAACTAAAAGGTTTGTTTACAAGTTCGGAGTTTCCCGCATGAGGGTGGAAATTAAAATTGAAAAAAAAAACATTTAATGTAGGTTATTGGTATTTGAAAATATACATACATACACTCACGGCAAAAAGCAATGGCCCAGATGATTTTTCACAATATATGCAAAAATTTGTATTCTAATGTTTCCGCTATATTTATAAAATCAATAAAAAGATTGTTTATAAAAAAAAATTATTTTTTACAAAACAAAAACAAAAATTTTATAATAAAAATAGTTTTTACTGCAACAAAAAACATAAAAATATAATTTATAATTTCTAAACTTTGTGCAAATCTCAGGAAAATTCAATAAATTTTCATGCCAATTTTCAATTTTTTAACAGATTTTTCGAAATTTCCTCGAGTATGCAGTTTTGCAGCAAGTAAATTTTAGTGCAATAAAGTGTCACTTTTTTGTATTTAGGAATTACCGTCGATTTTTGGGAATATTTCTAAAGTGCAATAAAGTGCCACTTTTAAGTAGCTAAGACTTGCCATTGATTTTTGGCAATTTTTTTACGAGTTTTCTTCCATATAAAAAAAAAATCGAAAGCAACTTTGGGGTTATATATTTTTATATTTTTTTTTTGTAGTGAACCATATAAAATTAAATTAAAACCGTTGCATATATTGTGCAAAATTCTCTGTGTCAATACTTTTTGCCGTGAGTGTACATACAAATATGTATAAATGCTCTTGGATGTAGCGTGAATTTCCAAACATCGCAAGGATTTCATTCACCTTGCCAGTTGAGTGCGGCCGCATCTAACTCCAGGTGTTGCACAAAGCATGAATTCCGCATACTACCACACCAAATACATACATACATGCTCATGATCACGATAGGTGGGAGTGTGTAAATTGGGTTTTTCCCTTTGAGCGCCGTACATACATACATACATATGTGCTAGACGGTGACGAGGTCATTATGAAATTATAGGAAGTAAAACTTTTCTGTAAATTACCTTAAAAGTCGGTAAATTGGCCAAGTGAAGGAAGCAATACAAATCAAGGCCTGCCTAGAAAAGAAGTCTACACAAATATACATACAACTTTATTGTTGAGTGCGAGCTCGCTGTGAGTGACCCGCACTACTATTTGGACAGTTTTAAGCACTGCCTTGGCTGTTAGAATTTCCGCCACAGTGTGTTCTACTTGTATTGTAATTGAAGGTAATTGGTATGCAAGTAAAATACACAGCTGCCAATTTAATAATGCAGGCTACTGCAATTACAACAAAATGTGGCGCAAAGAGAACATACATATAGCGAACGTGCCACTATTTGCAAACAGTCGTCGCCATGGTTGAGTGCTTTTAACGCTGTCGCCTCAAACGTTTTTCTTTTTTTTTTTAATATTTCTTTGCTCATTTTTGATAGCATAAAAAAATAATGCCTCGTTTTCATTGTTTACAGGACGTTGATCGGCAGGCACAGGCCGCAGTTGCCGGCGTGCCCAGTGAAGAGCAGTTGGCGGCATTGCGCGCACATCTGGAAACATTGGCGCGCACCGAGGAAGAGCTGAAGCAGTTGCACGAACGAAATATAGAAAATACAGCAACCGAACGCGGCAGCAGCAGCAGCAGCAGCAATGACGATGACAACACCATTATTGAAGTGCTAGAGCTGTGGCAGAAGATCTTCCAGGAAACTTTCCAGGAGTATCATCGCTTATCCACAAGGCTGCTACGCAGTCAAAATAGCACAGAAGCGCTGAAGCTGTGGCGTCAATACCTGCAACACGTACAGCAATTCCTTGCATGCAACATACCCGAGGACTACACCAGTCTCAAGGAACAGCAACATCTGTGTGAGATACATCAGAACCTGCTTATCTCACAGCAAAATGTGCTGGCCACGCACACCGAAGCCGAGCAGCAACTCGAACCGGCGCTCGCCGAACAATTCAAGCTGCTAACGAATATGCATAATGAAACGCTGTCACGTATTATGCAGCGCAATAGTGAATTGGAACGGCGCATGGCCGCTTGGAATGCATATCGCACCGATTTGGCTGCGCTGCTGGAATGGCTGAAGGAGCGCGAAAAGGAACGTACGCGCTTGCAGCTGCGCTATATACATTTGAAGCGCGTACCGCGGCTCAAACAGCGTTTGGAAGAGTTGCTGCAGCAGTTGCCGGCAGGTGAAGGGATGTTGGCGGAATTGAAGGAGCAGCAGGCGAATTTATTGCGCTTCTGTGATGACGCGCTCGCTACCTCCATACGCATGGAACAGTCGAGCGTGGCGCAGCGCATAAACAATTTGAAGGCCGCGCTTGAGACATGGTTCGGTTTTCTGGTGAAAATTTCCAAGTTGGCGAGTTCGTATGAGCAGCGCGTTGCGCAACTCGATGCTGAATTTGATAAAATCCAACAGCTGGTTGCCGATACTAATGCGTCATTGCCCACTAGCTCGAGCGCCATCCAAGAATGCCTTAGCAAGCTGCGCGCACAGCAAGTGCACCTATCGACGCTCACGCAAGAACTCGAGGGACTCAATGTAATGCAAGAGGAGCTCAAGGAATGCATTAGCCCGCACGATATGAAAGCCATACGGCAAAAGGTTTGGCTGCACTGGCAGCAACATGCCGATCTCGAGTACCAGCTGTCAACCTTGATTAACTCCATCGAGGAGCGTTTGTCCTTGCATGCGCTCTTCAATACCCGCTACGAACGGCTGGCGCATTGGCTGAGCGGACTAGAACACCGCGTTGAGCGCGATTCCGATATTTCAGCAATCGCTAACCCGGAAGATGCAGCGCGTCAATTGGATAAACAAGTCACTGCCGAGCTGCAGTTACGCGAGAAGGATCGCGAATGGTTGCTCTCAACGGGACGCGAACTGATTTCACTATACACGGATAATTCGCAGAATGCAGAAGCCATACGCATGGAAGTGCAAGAAAAATCCGATATGTTCATCGATCGCTGGGAGCGTCTGAAGTACCTGAGCAAGCAGCGCGCCAATAAGATTGGCGATTTAAAGATGACGCTGCAGCGCCTGGAAGAACGCATTGCCTTAATACGCGCCTGGATGTTTGAAGTTGAGACCGAATTAGACAAGCCGCTCACCTTCGACTCGTACACACCGCCAGTGATAGAAGCGAAGCTGAAAGAGCACGAGAAGATACAACGCTCTATTGAGAATCACAGCAGTAATGTGGGTGAGGTGCTCAATTTGGTTGAAATGCTCCTAAACGACGCGGACACTTGGCGCTCGCATGTGAACACCTCGAATTTAGGCGTCTCAGCGCAGAATCTTGAAAAGCGCTGGAAGAATGTATGTCAGCAATCGGCCGAACGCAAGCAGCGCATACTCACCACGTGGAATTTGTTGCAGCAACTGATCAAATTCACTACCGAGTACAAGACCTGGCTGAGCAAGCAAGAGTCGGACATAGCTGGCTTCGAGCGCGATCTCTCGTCACTGACCAAGGAGGAGGCAGCTGCGCGCCAGAAAGCCGTCGAAGCCAAGTTGGCTGAGCTGGAGACGCAAGAAGCGCCACTCAACCAACTCGTGCACACTTACGGCAAGCTGATGATGAGCGCCGGCATCGACCCTGAGAACATACAGAATCTCACAATGCCTACGAAGGTAATGCTGGCAAAGTGGCGCCAATTGGGTCCACGCTGTCATGCCGTTATTGATGTCATCGATAAAGATGTGAAACTTCGCCGCGATTTCGAGAAAGCGCAACAGGAGGCAGTACAAACGCTGGCGGGTATTCAAAGTGAACTCGAGCGGCTGCAGAAGCAACAGCCGAAGACACCTGCGGAGGCACAAGCTGCGCTTAAGCGTATCGAAAGCCTCGAGGCTAGGTTGAACCAAGCCACCGATAAGGTTGAAAGCGCCGACAAACTGGGTGCAGAAACTAAAACTAAGGCGAAGCAAGACGAGCTCACGCGCATTGTCACGCTCATTACACAGTATACGACAATTTGGCGTGAGCTACAAACACGCATTGTCACAATCAAAACCGAATGGACTGCAAAGGCTGCTGCGGCAACCGCTGCTGCCGCTGGTGCTGCCGCGGAGGCGGTCATTTCGGCGACGCGCATCTCAGAGGCCGACGCCGGCGTGCAGGTGAATACTTTGTCGCAGCGTAAACTGCGCAAGGCGCCAATGCAACGCGAAACCTCGATTACGGCCAAGGATGCTTATATTATGGAGCTGGACACAGCGATCAAGGAGTGCCAAACCAATCTGGATGAGCTGCAACGCACCATCTGCGACAAGACACGCAAACCGGGTCCACAAAAGATGTCGAAACTCATCGGCAATGCGCAATCGTCCACCGAGCTAGTCAAGCATTTGAGTCAGCTGCTGCTGAGCGAATGTCAAGCAAACGACAAGGAGGCGCAGGTCGAGACGGTAGCTGAATTGTCATTGCGCTTTGACACATTACTCTCGCAGTGGAAGACGCGTCAACAGCAAGACCAGAAATCAAGGTGAGTGCTGTGGAATTGTGTGTGATTGCTGCTTATTATGCAAGACGAAATATTTATTATAAATGTTTAAGTAATATGTAAAATTGGTGTCGGGTTCTCACATTTGTTTTCTCTATTTTCTTGTTTACTTACACTCGACACAACTAAAAAAAAAACACACGTGAAAACGAAAATTATTAAATAAAAAAATTAAATAAATTAACACACACCCGCCTGAAAACATGCTTCATGTCACGCTCTCAAAACGCATTCATGCCTACACACATACATACATATGTATATGTAAATGTTTAACAGAAGCGCGCTTCCTGCTGCTTACAAACTGACCTGTCCACAGTAAGTGCTACCGTAATTTTAACTTTACATATGTACACACATTAAAAATTTGCATTTTTTTTCTAAATTTATCGTATTTAACCCTTTCATAGATATTACACACATACATGCATACACACGTACATAAATGCAATGGAATGAGTTTTATTTACACAAATTTTTTATGATTTATCAAATTTACTAAAAGAAATGTAATGAATGGAATCTTCGTTATCGATGATTTTATCGACATATTTATCGTTGTCGTTAATGCAGCTTGTTTCGATGTTCCAAAGGAAATACACCAGTATATTTTCCGATAACTTTTTTCTCGATAGTTATCGATATCGCTATTCATTTTTTAGGTAATTTTTTATTAACGTTTTAAACTTAGACTGTTAATTTCATATTTGAAGATACATTTATCGTTTGATATTGTTATCGATAGCACTATCGACTTTTCCCCTAAATTAATCGATACTTAAAAATCGACTTTTTCACAAAATTTATCGATGTTAATAAATAATGATACCACGGTTACAAGTTTCTTTCTGTAAAAATTTTGCTCGAATTTTTTTTCCAAATTATAAACAATTCGAAATCGATATTGTTATCGATTTTTTTACCATCATTTATAGACGTACTTCTTTCTCTCCGGTATTTTTCCTATTATTTTAAAGTGTAAATAAAACTCAAACGAATTCTACCTAAATCACTGCTATAGTAACTAACAAATTGCTATCTTCTTATTCCATAAACTATGCTACAATATCTCTACCCACAACTAATTCTTTTCTCTCTTACACTCCATCTCCCCCTCCATACCAAATACACAGTGAGGTCGGTCGCCTGACATGCCCGCTCTGCACGCAACGCAATTGGCAACAGATTGACAACGATTTGTGGCGACTGGAGCAGTGGTTGCAATTTGCCGAAGGCACACAAAACGCACAAACCTCACCGCCCTCAAATATCGAACTGCTCGAAGATGTCGTGCAAGATCACCGTGAATTCCTGCTCGATCTGGAAAGTCACAAATCGATTGTGATGAGTTTGAATGTTGTCGGCGATCATTTGGCCACACACACACTGGACACTGAAAAGGCGCGTCAACTACGCGATCGTCTCGAAGCCGATAACGAACGCTGGAATGAAGTTTGTATTAGAGCCACCAAATGGCAGGGTCTGTTGCAAACTGCCCTAATGGGCAACAGTGAATTCCATCAGATAATCGATGAATTGTGCGCTTGGTTGCAACAGACCGAACAGAATATTAAATCTTCAGAGCCCGTGGATTTGACTGAAGAACGTAGCGTATTGGAGGCGAAATTCCGCAAATTCAAGGAATTACGCTCCGAATTGGAACGCTGCGAGCCGCGTGTGATGAGTCTGCAAGATGCTGCCGATCAGCTGTTGAGAACTGTGGATGAGGCGAGCTCGGAATCCACGCACACCTATGCAAGGTAAGCGGGCGTATGGGCCAAACCGCAGGGCGGAACGATTAAAGTAGAGGGGTGTTGTGTGAGAACAAAAGTTGTGTAAGAAATTTTTGATACGTTCGGAACGGTGAAGTGAAGCATAAAATAATAGTAGTGAAGAATAAATTTGCAAAAAAGGGAAAAGTGTAGAGTCACACTTTTTTTCTGTGTTGAAAAAATTAAGAAAGCGAGTAATTTACATAAATAAAGAAGATTGCTAAGAATGGGCTGTGATGAATATTTATTAAAAATATATCACTCTTTCCTAGTAGTCAAGTAGTGTAGTAGTACAAGTAGAAGTAAAGTAGACAGTTGAAAAATGGAATAAAATGAAAATTTTTTATTTTACCAATTGTAGAATGTGTGACGCAGAAAGCAGTAGACACTTTTACTTTATAAATGTTAGTTTTAATAATAGTGGTATTTTATTAAATTAAGTTGGTTGTTAATTTCAAAACCCATTCATCATTGTGTCATAGAGCTTTGTTTGAAAAAAATAAAAATAATAATAATAAATTGTGTATGTCCGAAATTCTACTAACATTTAAACTAAATACTTGGTTTTTTCGGCTTTAGTTCTAACAGACATTTCCTCAAAGCTTACATAATCATATTGTTTATTGTACGTACATAATAGTCAGATAAGGTTAGACGGGCAGCTCTGGTTAAGAGTTCGTCGTTAGGCATTACCTGCCCATTGCGATGATCTAGGTAGGGCTTTTCTATATCTATCCCTAACAGAGCCAGTAATGAAGTTTTTCGCAAGCTGTCTAAGCAGTCCCTGTAAGAGATACCCCAGTAATTGTAGGCCTTTTCTGAGGAGAGTTGGATTTCCTGGTTGTATTTATCTCTTCAGCTTCCTAGCGGCGATGTGGTCACTGTTAACTGATATTCCTGTAAGCATCCTAACATTCGACCTTGGTAGTCTTAGTCAGCGATAAATTGCCAGAGTGGGCGGTTCCGCTAGTCTTATCGTAGATTCCTTTACCGCGCAACCGTCAGCTTCCTTATTTCGCAGAATACCATCGCTAAGATTTCGATAGAAGCTACAATGCCGACAAAAAAGGCAATTTTAGACGAGTGATACGATTTATTCATATTGAGTTGGCGACAAAATACAAAAATCTGGGCATTATCCGGTTAGAGAAACATGTGGACATTAGAGGGGATTTTCTTTGTGAACGGTAACCACAATTCAGTCGGACCTGTCATAACCAACACAAAAAGGGAGTCATGTTGATTTGCAATCATTAGTAGCTCGTCTAATCATGCCCAGTCCTTTTGGACCAGAAGGAGCTTGGAATTTCATAAGTCCTAGTTTTTGCCCAAAATTCTCTGAGCTGACATGTTTTATTCCAGGGTTTGCTTTTTTACCAACTCGTCCGCTCTGTACCTGTACCTGATATCATAATTTTACTCTAAGATAAATTTACCCATATTCCCCGGTGTCGTAATATTGTCTGTTAAACCATTTATTTACTGTCGCGGATGAAATAACAGATGCCAAATAGTTTCCATTTCGTGACCTCTGCCAAGCTAATGAAAAACCGAGATCCCAAGAGTTGGAATTAAAGTGGTGAATCGTTTCATCCTCCTCCTCATCCCGTCAACTTCTGTAGATAAAAGTACTTGCTTTAAAGTCAGAAGCTCTTCAGTTCGTTGCTTGTCAAGTCTCGACACTTCACAGCCAGCTCGATTACTCCATAGGTCATTTGTTACAACTGTGATGTACTTGCCAATTGCCTTAGTTGATTTCAACCTTAGTTGTAGGGAGTTATCCGCTACGATGAAATCCTATATATGTAGCTATTTCATCGGATTTTTCATTCCCTTCAATATGGCTGTGTCCAGGAACTCAGCAGGGCGCGTCGTTGCATGAAAATGTCCCATCTGCAGCCTTTCATAGTTTTAAATACTTTAGGCTTTCATCGAGCTTTCACCAAGCTGGCTATTTACATACATTTCACTTGGGACTTGAAAGGCTTTAAATTTAGTAAAAAATATGCATACATATGGGAAATATTTTGTACATCTATCGCATCTGAAAAGCTTTCTATTTCACAAAAAAAAAAAAATAAAATACAACATACATACATATGTACGTACATTAGGGTGCCTCATCAAAGAACAAATTTGCAAATTTTCCGTCGGAATTATAAAATTTATTAAATTTTAAGACATCCGCTAAAATATTTGAAGAAGTATTGAGGTTTTTGTGCGTGAGCTGATCCAATTTGATAAAATTTTTTAAAATTATTTTGCAGACATTCTAAGCTTAAACTCTTCTATCGGCTGTGGTGACTTTATAATTTTATTTTATAAAAAACTAATTTTATTTATAAAAAACTTAATTTTTTGAGATATTTTCAAATCGGTTGCTGGAAGTCTTAAAATATAAAAGGTTGTATGATTTCAGTGAAAACAAGAGTACCTATTTTTTTTTTTTTTAGTGGAGAGTGATGCACCCTAATGCACATTTAACATGTTTCATTATTTTGGGTTTACTTTTAACCATTCTTACTCATACTTAAAACTGGTATATAACCACATTTATGTTAGCTTTTTACCGCTGCCATTCCATTTTTAATATTTAATTATTTACCCAACTATCGTCTACTCGTAACTCTTTCTTGATTATTCTCTTTACCTTTTATAGTTATAACTAAATACATATATATATATATATTTTTGTTTAAATAAAATGCCTATATATTTTTTGCTTAACAAAATCACAAAAAAAAAAAATAAAATTTCCGAAAAAAAAACACAAAATTGGAATGAACGCTTTCTTGTTGTTCTTGTTGGCGTTCTATTGGTTGCGTATTTGGTTTTTTGCACTTTTTTGTTTAAACTCGAAACTTTTCGTCCGCCCATTCTAACACTTCATCCAATTGAATATCTCGTAAGTTCACTAACATTCGCATTAAATCGAAGAACCCTTTCCAGGCTGACAGATTTGCGGTTGCGTTTACAATCGTTGCGTCGCCTCTCCGGCATCTATATTGTAAAGTTGGGCGCTGTGCTTGGCTATGATGGTGATAATATGGGCGTGTCGCTGCATATATTGTCGTCAGAGGTAAGTTAAATGATGGCGAAATAAAATAATAGTTATTAAACAATTTCCTGAATGTAGTAATAATGTGATAAAATTTAGTTTCTAATTGATTGATGAATTAAAATATTTTTAATAATTTTTTCCTAAGCACCTGTGTGAAACAATTGGCGTGCAAAAAAAATTATAAAAAAAAATAAAACTATGTATTTTGAGTAATTTAAAATTTAAATTAAATATTTATTGTTAACTTAAAAATGTAGCAAATCTTTTTATATAAAGCCAAACTTTTATTAAACAAAATAATTTTTGGATTAAAAAAATAGTTATTAGTCATCGTTGAAACCTAATTTATTTTACCCCATGTATGCGTTTCTTATTAATTTCTTTGTGTTATTCTTTATTTCTTTCTTTTTTTTTCGTTTTGTGATTTTATTGCAAAACAGCTTTTGGATCAAACTACATTACCCTCTACATCTTCTTCTATGCAGGCTGCCGCACCGTACACTGATAATGCAAAGTAAATATTATTAGATTGTAAATTAGCTTTTATAAGTTATTAAAAAAATTTGATTATTTTCTTTAATTACTATGAAATATTTGTAAAATTTTATTTTAAATCATTTATTATTATTAGAAGAGTTAAGTGTGCATGTCTAGTTTTTTTATTTTTCGACCTGTGTCCACTGGCAATCTTCCATTTTATTTAATTTTCATGTTTTTTTGGTTTTTAATTATTAACTGCACAAAATTGCACTATATGTATTTATATATTTTAATTTTTTTAATTTGCCAGTAGACACAAGACTAATAATGCCCATACACATTATGCCTGGTTCGCGATTTTGACTGGCTCCCGAAAATCGGAATGTAAAGCTATGATTTTTACTTAAAAAACACTAAAACTACAACAATAAAAAGAACGACCCCACACGTACAATAATAATTGGCGAGTCAAAAATAGATCTCGAATTTCAAGAACTTATTATTGGTAGGACTCCTTTCGAAATATATAAAACCTGTTCTTGCCAATTTTTGCTGAATTAAGAATAGCAAGAAATTAGCCAAATTTTCCTCGTAGTTAAGCTTTTCTATGAAAATTTACTTACGAAGTTTTCTGCCTTCAGGCAATTTTGTAATGTTGATAAGTAGTTTGTTCACAGAAGACTAATCACTTACCTATGCAGCTGAAGGTGATGTATTGCCCTAATCAACGATATTGCCAGTCGGAAGAGCCCGTGCTCAAGGCTACTTTCAAACTAACTTCCATAGATCTCAAATAAAGAGCTCTTGTAATTCAGACTCAGAATAAGAGATGTTGCGGGCGACTCACATGGCTCAAAGGATGGCTGGATGCCTATGTGGTAGCCAATCTTGACTTCAAAAGAGAATAGAGAAAATGTCACGCGGCTAATAAAGACGCTTCATTGCTCACTTCATAGCGACACTTTTAAGTTGTGATGGCTATTTACTCTAATTAATTGTGTGCCCATCTATCTCTACGACTGGGCTCCTCTATGCTGCAGGCATCTTCCAAACGGAAGTGTTAGTTGTCTGTAAGGTCGGCCTGTAGCACCTCAGGTGACTGAGTAAAAAAAAAAACAAACATATAGCAAGTAAATGTTCTGAGAGTTAGACGGCAATTGTGTTTTAGTTGACCACAGTTGGGTTCGTGACCAACGGAATTTAACAGCCCTCGCCTAGGAAATAAATAAAATCGATAATTATCAAAAAAATAAACAAATTGCAAAAATATTTACTTTTCCTGTTGTTCGGCATCCATCTTTTGTATTTATTTTATTTACGAAACAGCTGTTAGACAGTAAAATGCTTTTCACCTCGTGTGGTGATTTTGTTGAGCTTTTTTCTTATGAGGTGTGGGCAAGAATAACCTCACAAAATAGACCTCACAAGAAATCTCACAAATTTTTGCTCACAACTCAGTTGTGAGGTTTTATTAGAATAGGGCCGTAAAGCTAGTGAAGGAATTCGGATGAATCTGAATGGGATTCGGAATAATCATGAAAGAAGTTCATTAGCATTTTCGTGAACTCGCCAGACATATGTTTGTATGATCAATTATACAGACTGGCATAAAAATTTTCTTCTTGACTTTAGCCGAAAGTAGGCTTTTGAATTGTTTATTAAGCCAAGGACATTAGTATTTAGAATATTTGCAACTATCAGGAAGCGCTGAGCCCTAATCACACGCGTGACGAGAATATGACTTCTCCATAATACAATGTGTCGAAGCTGTAACCTAGAAGCTGGTGAAGAAAGGGTCCCAGCATTTTCTGTGTGACTGCCCAAGATTCCCATCCATAAGGCACACATACGCTGAGGAGGATATAAATAGCACAACGACTGACAGACTAATTAAGAGCCAAGTTGTCAATAAATTTATTTTGGAATCGTATCAATTAAATGTGTGTCAATATTGACAGAGTCCTAAGGCATACACATGCCAGCCTTCGACCTAGATAGTGGCTGTGAAATTCGTTTCAAAGTACAGGTCGTGGTCACGTAGTCTATTCGTTCAGAAAGTATAAACAGGCTTTGTACTTTTACCGGTGGGGCCGGCGCAAAAAAAAGTCCCATAGCTTTCAAGGTTGAGGGTAATTTTGAATGCTATATTGCTATGCTTTTAATAGGTCCCAACACGATAAAAGAGAGAGGACCATAAGGCATTTATGGCCAAGGGCTACATAGAAAGCTTAAAAGAGCTTTGCCCGCGGGCAAGGCAGTGTCCATCAGTGATCTAGAGTATCTAGAGCTAGTTGAGGTACTGTAATGAGCTGAGGGCTCACTAGACCTGCTGGTCGCAATTTCGCTTTATTCATCTACCTACATATCTATCTATCTGGTCTGATAACTTATTACTTTTAAATATACTTACATATGTACACATGTATGTATATAATCGTCTTATTGACTCAGAGATTCGCGATGATCCAGAAGTTCAGAACATCTTTAGCCTCAATTTTGACTGTGACTGAGAAACCAGGCATACATATTATCGCCATTTGTTTTTAAAAGCATTTTCAATAAAATTTTTTGCTTTTTTTATTTAACAAACTTATATATGTATCTACTTAAGTTACGGTTCAAATAAACTTTAAATTAAAACATTTTTTCTCTCTCTTTCTCTTACGCCTCTCAAAAAAACAGCGGCACCACCAACGCCACCGATGCCGATGCTGTCGATGGCGATGCCATCAACACCACCGTACTTGCGCGCGGTGCACGCTTCCTCGGACGTGTTGCACGTGCCTCGTTGCCCATACAAGCGCTCATGTTGCTGTTGTTGGGTGTTGCCACACTTGTGCCCCACGGTGAAGATTATACCTGCATGTTTTCGAATTCATTTGCGCGTAGCCTAGAACCGATGTTGTCATACCCAAATGGACCGCCACCAACGTAGTAGTGGTTGATGAAGAAACAAACGAAAATAAAGGTTAAAAAATCATACATAATAACTTAAAGTTAAAACGAACAAGAAATAGTATATAAGAAAAGTAAGATTTGTATATAAAAAAAATAAATACAACTTGTAATATGATTACAGCCAAAATCAGTTGGTTGCAGTTGCAGTTGCTGAAGAAAGTTTTGAAAAATATAAAAAAAAAAAATTTGACGCTGTAGTTGTACGCTTGCGTGAAATTGTTGCTGACTTGTGTAATGAATTTGTATTAAAAAAAAAAAACACACACACACAAACGAATTAAGCAAAAATTATTGCCTTTGCTTGTAATTGTACAATAACAAATGTGAAAACCAATCCTACTTTCTATAACCATAAACTTGTATTGTACTTAGTGCATTATATAAAGTTGATTGTAGTTGCGCATGCGCACTTGCCGATAGTTATTTCCCCACAATAGTTGCAAACATTTGATAGCCCATAGATAGCGCTTATGGAATATGTGAAAAACGAGATGAAAAAAAGACCAAGAAAAGATTAAAAAAAAAAAAAAAATAATATTAGGGAAAAGAATGTTAACGAAATGGCGGCGAATGAAATTAGTATAACGAAAATATTTATGCAGAAAGCAAATGAAACCAGTGAACTTTTGTAGCTCGTAGCGCTCATAGCGATACCGTAAAATAAACAATCGTTTCAAAAAAAAAAAATGAGCGCGACAAAATAGCAAACAATTTAGTATGTAAGCTTGTAAGAGAAAATGAAAAAAACAAAAACAAAAACAAATTACGATACGCACATATAACACGAAAAATAGTATAGCAAAACAAATTTTTTTGATATTTTCAGTATGTAGAAAAGGAAAATTTTAGGAAAACAAAAGTAATTTAGCAGCTGCCAATGAAATTTTTTTGCGCTATGCTTTGTATTAAGCGAATTTCGTGGAACATTTTTGTGTAGTGCAAGGCATAGCACCAAAAGAGAAAAGAAGCATAATGAAAAGGCCAACAGATGACAGCACAAATACACATGTAGAAAGCCGAAATCCTTACTCATAGCAGAACAGCAGAAATAAAAATAAAAATAAAATAAAACTCTCCAAAATTTAAATTTTCAAACAGCCACAACCGAATTGTGAAAATTTAACTCAAATTGTTTTTATAAACAAAAAAAACTCATGACCCAAAAAATTGACAATTTTAAAAATGTGAAACGCCCATATTTTTACATAACCTCATCTCCCAAATAAAGTGGTTTTGCGCAAAATCGGGGCATTTACATTTTCAAAATTTTCATAAAACCAAAAAAAAAATGGCCAACGTTGCGCAGCCTGTTTGCACACACTCAAACAAAAATCTCTCCAAATGTTTGTTTTGGTTGTTGCTTGCGCAAAATGACTTGCAGCAACGTTGGCACACACACACACACAAACCACGCAGTACTGCATAACGAAACATTTCGCAAATAAAAAAACATTCCCAAAACAGGCATTACCATAGTTGCATACATATTTTTGTTGAAACGAAAATTTTTTTAAAAATACGCTTTTCGAAAAAAATAGTAGTAATAAATATTAAAAAAAAAAAACAAAAACGAAAAGCTGTCGCTGCTGGCCACTTGATTTATGTGCACGCTTTCTTTCGCTTGTTGTGCAGCTGCTAAAACGAAAGCAGCAAGAGTGTCCTATGCTGGTGCTTAACCGAAATTGATGAAAAACCCCATTAATTTCTTTTTGCAAAGAAACAAGCAAAAAATAAAACAAACAAAAAATAAAACGAACGACGAAGTAAAATATTCATTTAAATGCGTTGAAGAAAAGCAAACAAAAATGCAAGAAAATGTAAAAAAAAAAATTTAAGAAAATTTCAAAAAAATTTAAAAACTGCACGCGCACTTTTTGGCGTTTGTGTAAAAGAATTTTGTTTTTGCCAGAATCCATCCAAATTAGTTTATACATGCAACATGCATGCATACATATAATTATTATCTATGTTACTATAAATATTTATTTTCTTTTTTTGGCATACATTTTACATACATACGCTTCACCTACATATGTAGCTACATACGCTAATTTTCTATAAGTACCTAAAACGCAAAATGCAAAAGTTATCGTGTTATGAACAACTATAAACTATTTATTCATTTTTCTATGAATTAACGCATAAACATTTATGTATGCATGCAAAAAAAAACAACAAAAACAAGTTATGATATTATTGATAATTGTTTAATTGCCTATTGCTTTGTTACTTTTTTCATAGACATTAAATACAACAAGAAAAATTTGCCTTTATTATTGTAAAAAAACAAACAAAAACTAAAAAAAAATCATTTTTTTAATGCTAAGTTACCACAAATGACCGTTAAAAATTAACAAACAAAAAAACGAAAATACTGGAAAAAACGTTTGAGAAAAAAACGCAGTTTTGTGTTGTCAACTTTAAGACAAAAAGTAAAACTTACTCTTTACTTAGAAATATTTTGCATTAAGCAGCAAACATTTTTGTGAATTTTGTTTAGGTTAACTTATTTAAGTAAATATTTGTTTTTCACTTACTCGTATATTTAACTGTATCTACTATTATATGTAATTATGTTATGAATATATCACCTTTGCAAAAATATAAAAATAAAATACAAATTAAAAAAATATTAATTATGGTTTGTATATCAAATGTTCGCTGTATTACTTCAAAATGGTTAGCGGTAAATGTTCTGCGAAAATAAAATTTAAAGATTACATACACGACGTACTTTGGTGCCTATTGTTGTAACGGCTTACTTAGCCCTGCCCAGACTGGGTTGGCCCAGAGGAAGAGGGGCGCTAGTTGAGTGTCGTTTAGGGGCCATGCGAAGGTGTGTTGCTTGTTCGGAGGTGACTCTCCGCATGCCGGGCACTCATTGGGCACATCTGCCCATTGTTTCATTCAGGTAGGAGTTTAGTCTGCTGCAGTATCCCAAGCGAAGTTAGGCTATGGTGGTGCGCTTCCCCCGAGTCAGACGAAGTTCTGTCTCGTTCACGTCTGGTGGCTGCGTTCCAAAAACGGCATTCACAAGTTGGGAGTTGGTGTCCTGTCCCGAGGGCGTCCATAAGTTCGTACAGATGTCTTCTGACGTCTCTAGGCGAGGACTCTGCAGCAAGCAGGTGTCTGTTCGGATGCCCACGCTAGTTTTCGGGTTCAAGGGTTGTTTTATTAACCTCTGGACTTCGTCGGTAAGTTCGTATAGATGCCTTCTGACGTCCATGCCCGAGAGTTCTACAGCAGGTGTCTGTTCGGACTAGAGACTGCTTAAATAGCATTATGTTGTGCTCCTTTAAGGGGAACATTTGGGCTCCGTCATATTGGAGTTGCTGGGTGGCGTCAGAAGGCATCCCGTGGCAGTCCGGAAAGCCGTATTTTGGCAGGTTTGTAACTTCATATATCAGAAATCGCAGACGCCCCTGTCATTCTACACGTTAAGTTCTGAAATCTTTAGTTCCTATTTGATCCTTCTTGAAAACGTTCCCGATACTTTCGTTCTTAATTTGTTCTCATTGGAAACATTCTCAAGGGGTCTGTTTGCATTTTGTTCTTTACGGAAACGTTCCCGAACCCTTTGTCCTCATTACTTTTGTTCCCGTTTGGCTCTTTTGTTCTATTGCAGAACTAAACCAAAACTGGAACGGTTCCTGATATATATACATACATATGTATATACAAGTAGAAGACATACACGGAATATATTTGTATTACCTGATGGTCGTTCATTGTAGATCTCCAGGCCTCTGACCCAACGGTATCTATAAATGGTTACTAGCCTCGCCGTCAATCCCGGTAAGACAGGACTGGTCATATTCATTAGAAAGTATAAAATCCCTGACGGTGGACTTCCCTATGTAAGCGGTCAGCGCTTGCAGCTATGTGACAAGTATTGGGCTTGAGCCTAGACATGAAACCGAACATCGAGCAAAGGGCAAGGAAGACATCAGTGGTCTTACATATATGCTGTAGGGTAGCTATTGGAAAGAGATGGGCTGCCTCGCCTAAAAGTTGTCAATTGGCTCTATGAAACGGTAGTCATGCCTATTAGTCTAAACATTATGGAGTTCTGGAGGACTTCGATTTCATACCTCATTGAACGTATTATTGCGCCACCAAAATTGCTTCCAGGAGCATCTTCTCTGTCCACTTTCCATCCAGGGAGGATTGCATGGGAGAAAACTTCTGTAGAGGGGGAGCAGGGAGCTTCTTCAAGAATTAGTCAAAACTTGAAAGTAGGGTAGGCAAGGGTATCTTATATTGTGTAAGCATTATTACTATTAATTGCTGAATTTTTACGGGTCAATGTTAACAATGATGTTTTTGTTGTTGTAGCGGCTGCTTAGCCCTGCCTAAAATCGGGAGTTAATCGGAAAAGCGTCTGATTTAATTGATTTTTAAATTTTTTCAGTGTATCTATAATTACGCTTTCGTCCACTAGATGGCCCTAAGGCATAAATATAATTTCCTGCCGCTGTCAAAAATACTCGTTACTGCTCGTTACTATGGTTTCGAAAAACATAAAAATTGGACAAACAAAACTTTTTATAAATTTTTGTTTAATCTTTAGAGATTTTGTTATTTGCTGTTGAAACTAAAATATACATTTAAAAGAAATAATAAAGCAAATTGAATAATCATGTTCAAACGCGGCAAATTGCATTTTCTTAGCACTAAAGATGATCGCATCAAAGTAATGAATGACCGCATAAACATGACGGAGAAGCATTTGCTGGAAATTTGTGTCAGCTTTGCGGCATGTACGAGAAAAATTGCAAAGTAAGTCAAGGCTAACACCAAACCCTACCCGTCCATACCACAGCCGAGTACTCGTGACTGGGACAAGCCAGATTTATGCAAATTTGGTCAATTCAGCAAGTCTGTCCAAACCATGTAAAGAATGGGATAATAAACTCTGCTCCTGAAATTTTACTATAAAAAATGAACTGATGTAGGTCCTTGTAAGAAATGAATTTGGCGAAAAACACATCTCATCGCAGGTCTCCTGAAACCCACTCAGCTAACACCTCTATGCCTATGGACAAACTCAGTCGAAGTTGTATGCTACCTGGGCCTCCGTTGGTTGAGCTCGACGACCACGATTGAGGAACAAGCCGATCTAGGCAGGGCTGAGTGCCGCCACAACAACACATCCGCTTCCGACACTTACACGTACCCATTTAAGTCTGAAAGTTCGCAGGAATGTTATTTTTTATAGTTTTAATATGAAAAAACTGCGAATCTAACGTCGTTGTAGAAAAAAGTATTCCAGCATTTTATTTGGTTCAATTTCTTTGGAGTGTGCTGCGTTAAATATCAGATATGCGTTAAACTGCTGAGATGCAGGTTATGCTTGAGACATATTTATACCAGTGCCCATTTTATTTTACAGATATCGTGATGCTTTCGACGATTTGGGTCATAAAGTCAAAAATTTCGCTGAAGAGGAAAAAATCAATTATAGTTTAAGTGATAGTCTGAATTCTATTACGACTTCCATAACTATTCAAGCTGATTATATGGACTTGCTGGTGCATCGATTAGAGATGAAGGTATGGATTATAATGAAAATAAAATCTATTCAGTCAGTACAGTAACATTTCGTTTAAAAAAAAGAGAGTCTTAATAAAATTAATTTTAATATCAAACGGTTACTACTAAATTATTTTATATGCAGATTGTAAATGAGTTAAGCCAATTTGAAAACCTTTGCAAAACCACACGGGAAAACTTGCGTGCAGCAACAATTGCACGCGATAAAGAAGTGTTGAAACAACAGCAATTAATGGAAATCAAATCTAAATTTACGGCCAACAATGTGAGTTTAAACAAAAAATTTAAACCCTCTTCAGCAAGTTGCTTAATCCATACTTAAACCTTCAGGCGGCTGCGGATTCTGACCTGTTAAAGGTCAAACTAGAGGTGAATCGCGCCAACAAGGAAATCGATGATATAATCAATAACTTTGAGCAAAGAAAATTAGCTGATTTAAAAGCATTACTAACCAATTTCATACTAATATCCATAAAATACCATACAAAAACACTGGAAGCGCTCTCGGCGAGTTATTATGATGTTTCAAATATTGATGAGCGTGGTGATTTTAGCGAATTTCAAAAGCTAATGAAAACAAAGACAGAACCAGCAACACGAAAGCTAAAGCTGAAGAAAGGAATGAGATCGCAATCGATGGACAGTTTGGATCACGACACGCTTTTGAGCCCTTTAAAAAGACGTAGCAAGCTGACACGCAGCAATAAAAGCTTGTCAGGCAAAACTGATGATGAACAAGAGAACGATAAAGATGACGATGATGATGAGGAAGAGGATAATGATGATGATGAGGTTGTCAGTAACTATGTTACGCAGTTAATTTCTAAGGCAATTTATTTAATTTTTTTCTTGTCTCTTTTAAGGAGGATGAAGTGGCATCTGATGATAACACTAACGATGAAGAAGAGCATAGCGGTACCGTCTCAGATGAAGATGAGCCTACTGAAAGTATTTCCGAAGCAAAACCAGCTGCAGTAGTAAACACGGCTGATGAGAAAAAGACAAAAGAACAAACTAAACACCCATTTCGTGCTATATCCTCAGCGCACGTAAGAACGCAAAGAAAAATGCATGGAAAATCAAAGTAGTTATAAATAGCGTAGATTAAAGATAAACGTACATACATCATACATACTTAATTGGGCAAATGAAATGTAGCTTGCAAAGAAGTAGAATATTGGCCTACGAAATTAACCACTATTGCCATTAAGTTGGCATAACATAACACCACATCATGCATGCTACAGAGAATGGTTAACATCTTATTTTATTTGTAAACTAATTAACTTTACATCTCGCTCAGGTCAACAAGCCTCAAAGTCAGCATAAACCATTCGCTGCGAAGAGTGTCGTTGGTATACCAACTTTACATAAACGTGCCTCTGCCACACATTTTGGCAGCAAAGACCATCAGCTGAAGAGTAACCCTAGCAACATGACTATGACACTAGACGGGCCAAGCAGTCGCTTAGTGACAATTGTTGAATCGAAGAAATGAATATATGTACAGGCATAATTTTAATGCCCAAAATATGCTAATGATATGTTGTAATATTGATTATACAATGGTGGAAGCTCTCATTAATAAATGTTCGAAAAAAAATAAAAAAAATACAAAAACGTATTTTACTTGCATTTTAGGTATCAGTTTCTCTACAAAATTTCATGGCTGTCTTCATTTTTTATTATTTTACTTTTTTAATCTGCATTTAAAAATGATTCGATAGGAATGCA